ATCATTCTTGAATTAATGATTACTTATTATCAACAATTATTTGTTTATTCAACTCAACAAGAACAAATCAATAAATCAACATTGAAATCTCAACCTGATCTCATTCCAATGGAATTTCATTCGAAAAATCGAAGTAATTCAAATGAAAATTTATTAGAAAATTCTATTTTATCTGTTCAACCGTATGTTATCTTTTTTTATCTTTTTGAAAAGAAAAAAAAAGATTTAAAAAATATAATTTAGATCACCTGGAACACGTCGAAAGAATAAAGCTCCACCACCTCCTCCTTCTTCTTCAGCTCAACAAATTTATCAAGAAGAAACTTATTCGGAACAAATTATTAATCCAAATCCTTCAGGTAATCAAACAAAATCCCAAATGTCCATATCCAAAAGTATTGAAGAATCATCTCAATCATCTAATCAAATCAAAAATATTTACAGAAGATTTACAAGAGGTTTCTCAAATCCGCTCGCTTTCAATTTCTAATCGTTCGTCAATCACTCTTCTCTCTCTTTTTTTGCCTTTTGTCATTTCTTTGTTAACATTGGTGATTGGATGTTTATCAATTTCATCAAAATTCAATTCTCATATCTTTTTTTTTCATTTAGTTGTAAGTTCATCAAGTTTCACTTCGAATGATAAAGTTCATCGACGAACTCCAAGTGATGGAATTCAATTAGATCGTCCGAATGCTCCACCACCATTACCACCACCTGTTGTTGTTGTTGCTTCACCTGTCATTCGATCAAAAGAAAGACTTTCAATTCCATTACAAACGAGTAGTAATTATTCAACTAATGAACAAACAACATGTAATGAAGACAAATCAAATGAAAATGATACAGTTAATGTTGGAAAATTAATTTCCGAATTAAATAATCGAATGGCTGCAGCAAAGTTAAATAATAATAATAATACTCAAACAAATAATATTCGTGTTTCATCTATTCGAAATAGCACTTTGAATTCACCTGGAGAAACAACGGATTTCTAGTCGTTTATTCATTCAACTCGGTGCTATTTCGATTTATTCTCATCAGTGACTCTTTTCTTTTTCAAACGAATCTTCTTCTTTTTACTAATATATATATATGAGAAAACAAATGCTTTGTTTATTATTATATGAATAAAAAACAATGTTTATATTATCAAGTGAAATTCAATTGTTCAATGAATGATCCAATGTTTTAACTGTTTTACATAGTTGAAAATAATTCAATAATCAATAATAAAATTGATACAATTCAAATCATTCTTTGATGTATTTTAAGATTTTAGTTTTTTTTTGAGATTTTCAAACAAAATCAGATGGCGCTTCTTTTCTACTCATGATCTCAGAATAGTTCAAGTTGTGACTACTGAAATGGATAAGAATCAATCATTGATCAAATATTGTTCCACGATCTCAAATTTCGTTTGATTTTTATATTAAACCTGAATCGATTTCGTTGATAAAGGCATGTAAAATCAACCTTTTCACTATATTTCTCTGTTGCTTATTATTGGCCATGATAAGGAATGAAAACATCAGACTATAGTAAATATTTGAGTATATATGACAACATCACTTGTAGTTTTTAATAACATCATTCTGTTGTTTGTGGAACAAATAGAATGAATGCATCGTATCAACCCTGAGCATATAAAACTGCTTTAGTAATCTTATGAAAAGTTGGAAATGCAGCTGTTGCTATTGTAGCAGCATTGAAAGTCACTGAATGATGTTGATGTGGAATTAGTGATGGGTGTTTTGTATTGTTTTAGAATTAAATGGAAGTAGAAAATCTTGAAGAATATCAAACAGTGATTATTGAATTAATCATATTTGTATCAAAAAGAAAATCTTTCATCAGTTTGAATATGGAAATGTTTACCAAATGATTAAGACATTTCTGCACTTTTATCCCTTGGAATTTTCCAGATACCTATGAAAAGTTAACATTACATGAAGAATTAACTGAAACAGATAGTCACAGAGATGATTTGATTGAATATTGTTTCAATCCTTAAAAACATTCAGATTTGCCAAATCTCTACTATATATGATGGCACCACGAACATCATATATTTAGAAACACTGTGGTAGATAATTCATATATTCTGTAAAATACTTTTTCCTTAATCCTAATTCAAAACGGTATAAATCCCTTCGATAGAGAGTTGAATATAGTAAGAAAATCATCTTTGAAAAAACTTTTCTGCTGGGAAAAAACACCTCTTACTATACATATAGATGATGCTGAATAAATATTTTCTTCCCACTTATTTTATGACACCTTCACGTCATTTAAAAGAAGAATCAGATGGCATCTCAGATTTTGTTTTTGGACAAGAAAATTGTTAAATCGAAGATGTGTACAGATACAAATTTGTAGCTGATGTGTTCGCATTCAGATGTAATTGAGGACTTATGACAAATCAGTAGTGCACAATACAAAATCCAAATAGTTAGCTGAGATAAATCACTTATTCTATGGGCTATTGAATCGTGTTCCCATTTAGTCAAAGGAACACGATCGAAGAAGACAGAAGAAGGGAAAAATACGAGAGAACGTAGAAAACCAAAAAAAAAAGAATGCGAATACACGCATAATACGTGTGTATGGTAACGCCAACATGATTGTGTGAAAAAAACCATTTAGGCTCATAGTGGGATATATCCTATGAGTCACAATTAGCAAACTATCACCTTCCATGATAAATAGACGTCTTTAAAAGACTTGTTTTTTGCTTTGCATACAGAGAAAAGGAACGAACGTTTATTGTCCTTTTTATTTTCTGTTCTTCGTAAGTTATATAGATTTGGTTTCTTATGAAGTTGGAAAAATCCAATTGTTTTTTTTTTGTGAGTATTAACGCCTCGATACAACTCGTAGTAGCAGAAAGCGAAGTAAAACAGTGTGAAATACCTGTTACTAGCGAGTTCCTATCCAAACTGCACGGCAATTTTTCTCAGAAATTTTTTTATTTCTTCTCTAATCGTGCGTTCGTAGAGACAGTTCAAATTTCACTGTGTGTAAAGATATTGATCTTAATGTATCAGACCTTCTAGGCTTCATCTTTCGACTTTTACTTGACTTCGTATGCGGAAACACACACACACACTGAACATTAGATATAGATCATGTATGTATATAGAATAGTTTACAAAAATTTCATTTTTCATTTAGAAAGATAAGACTACTTCAAGATGAAACCACGAATCTTAATATTTTAAGTGCTTTTGTTTTATCGCAATGTGTTTGCTTCTTCGATTTAGTCTTACTATCACGTGTTTTATATCTATATTGAGCCCAATCTGGCGCATTCTCCCATACATCACGGACACTTGTATCCAGATTCTTATTGACACTTCTACTGACATGAGCCGTTTGAGTAAGTTTTTCGAGGAAATTTTCAACATTAAAGCTACGATAAAACAATTTTCTGAACTCTCAGAAGAAACTTTCTTTCGTAGGATTTGTCGAGGTTACGAACTGTAGATATTTGCTTTCCACTGTGATTCACATACTCGATTAAACATTAATGTCAAAAATACTACCGCTGAAGAAAAAAAAATATAAGATAATTACAACATTTAGTGTTTGATTAAATTAAAGGATTGAAAAATCCTTTATTGGCAAATTCTTATACATATTCTCTCTAAATTCTTCTAGATCATTCATATTTGAAATCTTCTCGATTTGATATCTGATATTCATGTCTCAAAACCAATCCAGTGGAAGTGATCAATCTGCCATTGGAGGTTTGCCTCCAGAAGTGCTAGAAGCTTTGCGTGCTAGTCAAGCAGACGTACAACATTGTGAAAAAGAAAACAAAAAATTAGAAGATATGAAGACAACAGCTGTTTCGGAGTGTTCAGTTATTGAGAAGCAGATTGACACTATCGTCGATGAAAGCGCAGAGATAGTTACAGAATTGAGACAAGAGGCTGAGAAGATCAAAGAATTGGAAGAAGAGAAAACAAAGATCTACGAAAATCAGATTACACGTATGAATGATGCATCGACAGAATCAGTGAAAATGACCGAATCAAAAGATAAGATTGGTGATTATCAACGTGAACTGAAAAGATATGAACAACAATTGAACGAGCTCGAGAAGGAAAATCAAAAGATCAACGAGGAGCACGAGAAAGTTTTAAACGAACAAAGAGCTCTAGAAAACGAAATGTCCAATATTCAACGTGAACGTGAAGAGAACGAACAACTACTTAGTGAAGCAATGGATCGTCAAGAGCGATACGAAAAAGAAGTCGAAGTGGTACGACAGCTGATTGATGAAATTCAAACGAAAATTAAAGAAAATGAAGTTAAGCTTCAGGATCTTGTTCGACAACATCGTGAACTGGAGAGCCGGAAAAAAGATTTAGAAAAAAATATCGAACAATTAAAAGAAAATATTGTTAAATTGGAAATGGTTCTCCTTGCCAAAGAGGAAAGAGTAGCACGTTTAGAACAAGAGGTTAGAAAACTTGAAGAACGAATCAAAGAAATCGATGAAGAGCTCGAACAAGTACGCGAGAAAATTGTTAAAGTTAATGAAACAATCCAAGAGTTACAACGAGATGTTGAAGAAAACAAAGTGAAAGTCGATGAGCTCGAAAGAGATGTGAAGGCACTCGAAACTGTACGTCGTGAATTGGAAAAACAAGTTCAAGTGCTAGAAGATGAGCTTAGCAATAAAACTAATCGATTACAACGTCTTCAACAAAAGATCACTGCGGTTCAAGATCTGTTCAACCAATCAGACACGAAAATCAAACAACTCGAATCTCAACGTGAACAACAAACGACATCAATCAACTATTTTGACGGAGAACAAAATCGATTAGAAGAATTAAAGACTCGTCAAAAGAATGAAACTGATGCATTGCACAATGATAAAGAAACAGCTATTCACGAGCGACAAACAGCTGAGAATGATTTTAAGAAAGCCGAAACTGATTTAGCGGCTGCCAAACAAACGGAACGAAATGCACAGAATGAATTGGACAAAGCATCAAATGAAGAAAATAGAATTAAAGCCCAATTAGATCGAGCCATTTTGGAAGAAAACTTAGCCAAACAAGAAATGGATTCAGCAAAAGCACGAGCCAACGATAGTAGTTCATCAGATACAATTTGGGGTTTGGTAGGTATGATTCCATTACTCAGTGCTTTTGCTCAAAGTCAATCGGGAAAAGGTCGAGAAGCTCGAAGTGAATACAATCAAGCGAAACAAAATTATGAAACGAAGAAAAATGAGACAAACAGATTGCGTGATGAATATCAACGTGCAAAAGATAAAAAGAAGGATTGTACAACAACATTGAAACAAGCAAAGAACGATTTAAGTGAACGACAATCTACTTTTCTTCGCAAACAAACACAAATGAATTCAGCTAAAGCGAAAGTTAGTGATTTAATCGAACGACATCGTTATGCTCAGCGTCAACAAGCTCAAACAGAAACAAATCTACGAATCATTGTTGCTGATTTACAAAAGGCTCGAACACAACTCTCAACTATTACGAATGAAATCCAACGATATGAAGCAGACAAAACAACACTTAACTCTCAGATCAATGATTTAAAGGATAAATCAGAACAAATGATAGAAGAAATCACAAGTCATCGACGAGTTATCGAAGGTAAACGTCGAGATTTGGAAGAGAAAACATCAGAAATTAATGAGAAAACAGCTCAATGTTCATATGCGAAAAGTACATTACAATTGAAACAAAGTAAATGAAATTTTCTTTCAAATTAAACATATGCAACGATCTTTGAATGGCGTTTAGACGAATGTGAGAATTCCAAGCGAATTTTAGCTGATCTATCAAATACAGAGAAAGCTAAAGAACGTGAAAAAACCTACCAACGTGACTTATTAGCATCAGAGAAAAGCACAGTCGAAGAACTTCGACGTGATATCGAAGTGAAGAAAACAACTCTTCAGCAATGTCAAGATCAACTAATAGAAGTAGACAACGATCTTCGATCTGTCAATGATCAACAACAACAATTGAATGATTCGAAAAAATCTCTCCGTGATCAACTTCAAACTTCAAGAAATGATCTGAATATTGCCGAAACGAATCATCGAAAAGCACGAGAACAATTTCAAGCACAAAGTCAAAAAGTGGAAGTATTACGACAAAATTACGAGTTATTGGAACAACGTGATACTCGATTGACGAACACCTTAAAAGGTATCAGTGATCGATCACAGAATAAACAAAATCAAATCAAAGATTTTGCCAAATTACAAGAAGTTTGTCGTGACAAAATCAAAGCTGAACAAGTCCAATATGATAAATCGAAAACGATTCTTTTAACGTCAGTTGAGAACTTCAGCAAATTACAAGGAGAAATTCAAACCGCTGAGAACAAAATACAAAGCCGAGAAAAAGTCTTTCAACAACTATAAGAACAATTCGATTTGAAACAAAAGGATTTCAACAATACAGATGTGAATAGAGAAGCGAAGTCAAAAGAACTTGAAAAAATTCAATACAATCTGCAATTACTGAAAAATCAACATCAAGAGCAACAATTAAAACATGGAAAACGTATTGCTGATATCGCAGAAAAACAGAATCAAAATTATCAATCAATAATCAACGAAAACAAGAAACAAAATATTGAAACAATTTCATCAGAAAAACAACAGACAAAATGGTCAAACTGAACATTGAAATGGATTTATATTAATCTCGATTTGGACATTTTTTGATTGCCTATCTTATCGTCGAACTTCTATGCTTGTATTATTCAAGATTTTTCTTTGCGATGTATCTTCTCTTGAATCTTTCTGCAACAATTTCGTTTTCGTTTTTCTTTAAAGTTCACAACAAAACCATTTTCTTTGTTTTTAGATATCTGAATAACGATGGTCGACAACAAGTATACACAACCGGAAATTCTATTTTCTCCATTTCCTGATCGTTATTCGACACCTTCAAAGACAAGTGAAGAGTCGAATGAAGTTGAAATTCTAAAATCGATCATTTTAAACATTTCTATTAATTATGATCGTGAAGGACGAGTTGAAGCTTTAATTAATGAATTACGTCAATCGAATTCTCATCTGGAAAAACTTCATCAATGTCAACATCGTTCAATTCTTCATCAATACATCTTAGAATCGACTCGAACACCTATTGATCTGAGTAAACAGGAAAAACGCACATCATATCGACCAAATTTAATCATTCGAACAAATGATGCTCATGGAGTTTGGATTCATAACCATTTGTTGACTCTTCTCTCATTAGAATATTCCTGTGATACAGAATTTCCTCCTTTATGGAAGACTGATGAGGAAACAAAAGTACAAATTAGAACGATCAAAAATTATCAACAGGAAAAAAATAATCAAAGTTCAATGTCTAAAATCACAAACGAAGAAGAACAAAAGCTTCCTGGCTTTCTCAAAGCCATTTGTCGTCAATATCAACGAAGTGAAGATCTTGCCGAAGACTGGGAGAAAAAATTAAACGGTGAGAAAAATCTAAATCTAAGCGGGACATTTCTAAGGAATAGAATGATATTTTGAAGATGTAGAGCTTTTCACGGTCCACATAGTTTGGTTATCATAGGAGTGCAGATTCGTGATGTTCTTTTCTTTGAAACTATCAGGAATCGAACACTAACAAAATAGCTTTGTATTTTTCTATATTATCATCGTGTAAAGATATGTAAAGTGTATCAAAAGAAAAATTCTTTTCGAATCTCAACTTAAAAGCGGGAGAATAGGGTTTTTTGTTTTGATTTTAATCAGAACTCCCAGACTCGTTAATTTCACTGATAGGTCTCGTCTAAACACATGATATCTGGAATGAGATGTAAAAGACTACGACACATGTTCAGCAAATTAGATGTATACAATGTAAATAATAATGAAATAGAATACACTTTGTGTAAAGGTTCTGGATTTGATTATTTCCGTAGGTGAGAACATTGACACTGTGGAAAATCTTCGTCATGCTGTGGCGAATGAGCGAATTTGGAATGAGATTAAATCTATTACATTAATCGGCAAAGAAATGATCAAAAATTATGTTCAACTAAATGATCCGTCATTAAATCAAAAACAATCAAAGATCGATTATGATACTTCAGATGCGACACTTTATGCTGATATTCATCGAATCCGACGTTATTTTCATCATATTACAAATACATTGCAATTTACAAGTTATCTAAAAAAAGAAGCTGTTGTCTCTGCCATCATTGAAACACGAAAAACATATGCTGATGATGGAAATGTTCTCAATACAATTGAATCGTATCTTCAAACATTTTGTTTGGAAAATCGTCCAATCGATCGAGAAGGTCATGAAAAAAAATTATTGGAATGGAAGAAAGAAAAGAAAGAATTAGAAGAGGAAAATGAACGTTTACAAGAGGAACTAAAGAAATATGAAGCTGATGTTCAACAAGCTGAAAGTAAAGTTCGTCTTGAAAGAATTGCAATGAATAACATTGAACGAGATTGTCGACGTATTATCGACGAAGTAGAAAAGTCCATCAAAGAAACAGCAACTCTTGATCGAAGTAAATCATTGCGTGATTGGACTGATCAACGAGAAAGAGCAAAAAAGAAAAAATTCAAAGCAGAATCTGATTTGAAAAAAGGTAAAGATCGATTAGAAGAGGTTGAAGCTCAATTTGCATTGAAAATCGAACCAATCCGCAAGATTCAATGTACTATCATTGAAAATGAAGCAAAAATCGAAGATCTCAATTCATCAATCAACATTGATGGTGAAGATGTACAAAAAAAACTCACCGTCAAGTACGGACGAGGTTTACTTCTCTATGGACCTCCAGGCACTGGTAAAACTTTGCGATTTCTTTGTTTGAGAAATATTCATTGATTGAAATGTTTTTAGGTAAATCAGAATTATTGAAACGAGTTGCACAATATGCGGGTATCACCATGATCACAACACCATTATCAGCTGGTGAATTAAATCGACCATATGTTGGTGAAACTGAACGTTTATTAGTCGATATAATGAATCGTTCGAATACAATTCCATATTTAATTTGTGCAATGACTATTGATGAAATTGATGGATTAGTACCTAAACGAACAAACAATGCTCAACAATCTAAAGTTGATGGAATTAGTGTTTTACTTTCACATATTGAAGGTGTGAAAAATATACAAAATCTCATTGTTCTGGGTGCAACAAATCGAAGAAATATGATGGATGAAGCATTTCTTCGTCGAATGCAAGCGAAATGTTTTGTTGGTCGACCATCTCCAACTATTCGAAAGAAATTACTCGAACCGTTACATTATCTCAATGCCGACATTTTCAATAACAAAATGTTGAATTTTCTCATGAAAATTACCACAAATTTTAGTGGTGCTGCGGTTGTTGCATTGAAATCAAGTATTATCGTTGCAATGAGTTCACATAAAACAGTGCCAATTGATGAACGAATCTTTCTTGAATTGGCCAATAATGCTGCTCGTGAATTCAGTTGTTGGTTTGGTATTGGAACTTTACCTGAAATTTGTCGTCTTTATCCAAATATATTTTCATTGGAAAATAATCAACAAGAAAAATATTCATTAAAAATACCAAATGGTTCACCAACTGGTCGAATTTCTGTTGATTTAGAAACTCGAAAATGTCTCATTGAATTAGAAAATGAAGCAACTCTTGAAGAAGATTTATCTAAAGAAGAAAATTCTACAAATACTTTGCTTTCAAGATTTCTCAATGGTTGTGCCAGTAGAAATATTGACACAATTCAAATCATTGATTTGAATTTTCTTGTAAAAAATAATGCATTTGAAGAAAATCAAATCTTCGAATTTTTAACAACAATTTTTGAAGGTAAATCATTTTCAATAAAGATCAGTTGCATTCAGATTTGTTTTTTTTTATTAGAATGCGATGAATATAATCGTTCAATGTTGATATTTGATATTGATTCATTGATTATGATTGGTGTTTCCGATTCAGCTATGTCAAAATCACAATCGATTTCAAATATTCGTCTTTATCAATTCATTCGAGAGAAATGCAAAAAAGCTGTCGTTGAACAACAGGTTAACAAATATTTCTCATTTTTGCAAACAATTTTGTGTTTTATTTAGGGTGACGTGAAATTTTTAAAAGAACGATGGATCGTTATGATTGTTAAAGAAATCTTTCTACGTGATTTATTATTTAAAGATATCAATTTTAAAAAGACACTTCGACAAAAACAAGAAGAATATGAAGAAGAACAAAAACGTCTCGATGATGAAATACCAAAGACTTGTCCAAAATGTGATCAATCTTATATTCCTTCACAAGTTAATCATGGCAGTTGTAAATACCACGATGGTTACATTGTTCATATTGATCGCCCAAAAGAAACTGTCAAACAAGATGAAGCTGAACGAATTATTAAACGTATACGATTAGCAAATGCGGATTGTAGTCATGATTCGAATCATTCGAAAGTACCCGTTCCAAAATTAATTTGGACTTGTTGTTTAACATTTTTTGCTGAAAATCAACCTTGTAAAACTGGTATTTGTGGATTACCTGATCAATTAAAAGATAAAACTTTTGGCAAAGATGAAGATTTAACGATGAAAGTTAAAGAGTTTTTTGAGAATAATCAAGTAGCGAAAAAGAATATCGATGATTTTATCGCATCTTTGAACAGTACTTCGGAAGTGAAACAAACAAGAAAAACTACTATTACTCGTCCTAAATAAAAGAAAAACTCTCATTTCTCTGCTTTGCTTTGCTTTCTTTTAGATTAACATCTATGACAAGACAAGTCGATTTTCACAGAATTTGTACACAATTAAATCAAACATTAAATCGAATTCTGGAATATGATGCAAGTTGTCAACCAGCAAAAAATTCGATCGATATATTAATTCAACAAAAGTATCTTAACGAAAATGAAGCCTCGCAAGTTTGGAACAATATCATCAATCTTCACGGGATAAAGTCTTTAAATTATAAAAATAAGGTCACATTAATAGTCTATTCAAATCACAAACATCTATTTTGTTTTCAATAGACATTGGCAATCAATATGATTCAATTGATGGTCTGGTGGTTAATTGAAAAACCAAGTGAAATCAAAAGTGACTTATTAATTAATTTACTTTGTCAAGAAAATTCTGATGATCAGACAACGGTTGGTATTCATATTCTCTTTTCATTATTCAATATACCTCAATGTAATGAGAAACAAATCGATGATTTGATCAATCTCATCTTCCAATGTCTTCATTTGAATCGTAATCGATTAAATGAATTCTTACATTTGAATCCAGAAGTTTTTCGACCCATTTGGAAAATTTATTTTGATTCTGATGAATCGATTCAATCACGCGAAACACTCAACAAAATTATAGATCTTTATCTTATGAGTGTTCAATCAACTGATGAACTCATCTTGGTGTTGGGATCCATCGATTTAAATGATGTACCAGTGAAACATTGTCTTCACAAATGGTCACTTCTCTTTGGTAATTTAGCAAAAAGAAATTTTCTTGATATCGAAGTGGTAAAATTGCTCTTCGAACAGCTCGATATTTTGAATGTGAACAATCATGAAAATGATTTAAATAAATTAATTTTGAATTTATTAGAACATTGGCCAAAATTGACTCAAGATGATCAACAATTATTTATTATCGATCGATTAATTAATTTCATTCAAAAGATATTTTCGAAACGAACAGATCAATCTGTTCATCTTGTTGAAGATTTGGCAAAACGAATCTGTGCAAAAACATCCGCAAATGATCATCATGCTGGAAACGATTCTTATCTGATTTTAATTGACAAATTTCTTTCAATTTTTGAACAATTGGAAATATTTTCTGCAATGACCATTATTGATGATGATATTATCGAATGGTATGCCGAATTCTTTCTCAAACAACAAAACAATCTCATCACTGATCAATGTTCAACTTTTATAAATATTCTCAAACAAATTGTCAAAATAACGAAGAAAAATTATTTAAAAATTTTCTTCAATTTCACCAAGAAATATCCAAACAAAGAATTTCTTTATGAAATCATCGTTAATTCGATTTATCCAAGTACAACTGTACTCAAATTTGTTCAAGAGATTTCTGCTGATGAGATTCATCGATTGATATCGAATCTGATCAATGTAATCAACTCGAAATTTATCGATCGATTATTAATAATTATTGAAATATTATCTGAAAATATCCCAACACATCTCATTCTCTTTCAATCAAATCGTTTTGATGAATTATTAATGAAATGGTTATTAAACGATGATTCATTTTCTACTAATATTCGTCTAATTCGACTTTTACTTGAATTTGGTACCAAATATGCTTCTCATCATAATGACATTTCTGATTTTCTACTTGAAAAATATTCGACAAAAATGTTTAGAATTGATTTTAAAGATCAAAGTCCATTTGTTGAAATTCTTCTTTTTTTATCCAATGATATTCAAGAGACAATTTATTCAAAGCGACGAAATGAAATTTTGCTTGAAAGGTTCTTCTATTCTGTTGAAGATGAATATTCCGATGCATACGCGTCACATTTATTCAATCTTAGTCAAAATCTTCTCGATCTTAACTTAAGAATAAAGTTAACCGATCTACTCTTACCTTACATTCCTGAATTTTTTGGCTTTCTTGATCAATCTGAATCAATTAAAGAAGAAGCATTGAAAATTCTTACTTTTCTTATGAATTTCACGGAGATTGAACGAACTTCACTACTTGAAACTATGCACATTAAATTAAATCACGACGAACCTAAAGCTTCGGTTGACACAATCCAAACAACAACAAAGGATATCGATCATCGACTAAAAAGCTTTTTTACATCGGAACAAGTTCAATATCGAAACTGCGAACCTGTTCGAGCGACTCATTTTGCTGCTGTTCGAGAATTTCTTGTCAACTTAAAGGAAGGTGAATTCGATCGATTATTTCGTGAGCGAATTGCAACAGAGAAAGACAACACCGAAATCATTCCCAATCAATTAGTATCTACTCCAACAACGATTGAAAATGTTTTGAAAATTTGTGAACTTACTTATAATCCGATTCCGATCCTTCTCGAAGGAGGAACAGGTGTTGGCAAAAGTGCAGTAGTTATGGAAGCTGCTCGACGATGTAATAATCAAAAACTAATTCGATATAGTATGTCTTCACGTGTCACTATTGATGATCTTTTAGGAAAGACAATGCTTAGTTATGATCAAGAACAAAAGATTGATCGATTTAAGTTTCTTCCAGGACCATTTACTAGTGCATTTATTAATGGTGATTGGATTCTCTTAGATGAACTTAATTTAGCACAAGATACAGTGTTACAAGCTATTGAATCAGCATTGGATACTCAACAATTGAAGATTTATAATAATGGATCAGCTGAAGAATCGATTCTCAATTATCAAATGAATCCAAATTTTCGTTTGTTTGCAACACAAAATCCGAACAGTGGTTTCTTTAAAGGGAAGAGAGAACCGTCGTCAAGTTCGTTTTTAAGCCGTTTTCGTCTATTGATTTTCAAATCTTTGAGTTTGAATGAATGGTATCAAATCGCATTAGAACGATTTCATATGAATCCAATTGAAGCTGAGAAATATGGAGTCTTCCTTGTAAAAAGATTTCTTAAAAATTTAGAAACAACTATGAATGATCCATCAAAAAATGAATTAATTGAACGTGGGCCGTATGTGACAAATTCTATTCGTGAACTTCTCAAATGGATCGATCATCTAAATTGGCAAAGAGAAAATGAATCATGGCCAACTAATGATCACGAATGTTTATCAATGCTCAGTTTCAATGCTTGGTGTATCTATGGAGCACGATGTCGCACTATAGGTCGACAATTAATCATTAACATTCTCACTGATTATCAAAGAGGTGGATGGGGAAATCCATTAAACGAAAATCCTTCTATTCGAATTGGCTTAAAACAACAAAAAATTTACTTTGATCATATTTCTTGTCCAGTTCAGATTCAATCATCATTGTTACAAAATTCTCATGATCAATGGACTTCAATCTTTCGTGAAACTATTCCATTTAATCAATCAATTTGGTCATTAGCTTTGGAAATCCACATAACTGTGTATAAAGCATTAATGGATGAGGATTTCATTCGTTTACATGGAATCTATTGTATTGATCAATCGTGGTTATATCATTGGTTACATTCAGCTTCGACTTTTCTAAATGAAACTGATCAATTTCTTTGTCATGGTTACAAACAATATGTTGCTCGTTTACGACATCAAAAAGCATATGAAACTGTTCGAAACTGTTTTCAAATTCATGTGAAAAACATCGATTTAGCCAAGACTTCTATCGATTCGTCTTCGATTCAAGTCGGAATGCCTTTTATTTTGACAAAACGAGTTTTGCGCACATTTAAAGAAGTTGCTTTTCACGCAAATATTCATCAACCAATTCTATTGACTGGTCCTGAAGGATGTGGAAAATCCGACTTATTGTTGACTCTTGCTTGGTTGCATGGTCAACAAATCAATCAATTGAATATTACAACTGAAACTGAACCATCACTTTTCATCGGCCAAATGACTCCGAATGACATGAAGAATTCAAATGAAAAACTCATTTGGAAAGATGGTTATGTAACTCAATCGTATGTTAAAGGACATTGGATTTTGTTGGATAATTTTAATAGTGCAGAAGCGTCAGTTATCGAAAGACTTAATCCAATTCTTGAAGATAAACCAATGTTAATTTTAACAGAGAAAGGTGACGACAAAGAATTGACGATGCATTGTAATTATCGTCTTTTAGCTACAGTGACAACTCCTCATTTCAGTACCACTTCATCAATGAAATTTGATGAATTATCACCTTCGCTTTACAGTCGATTCGCTGTTGTTCATATGCTTGATTTTGATTCGAAATCTGATGAATTAGATCTATTAGCCAATGGTCTTTTGTCTGATGAAGATGAAAATCTATCAAAATTTGCCGTCGAAATAATTCGTCAAATATGTGAATTTTCATCAAAGAACATGAGCGCCATTCCTCATTTGACTTTGAGAACGATTATTCGATTCCTCGACAGTGTTTGTCGTCTTTATCAACGATTCAAATCGACAATGGATTCATTATCAATACTTTGGAATGCTTATCAAATCACCATCGCAAATCAATTGAAAGGTGAACAGATGAAGAATATTCTATCCAACCAAATCGAAGAAATTCTTAAACGTCATCGAAATTTATCCACATTTTCAAAATTACCGTGGTCATCGTGGATTCCTCGAAATTCCGAACATATCTTGACTTCAAGTCGAGAAAACTACGCTCTTGCTATTCTAGGAGCTGTTCTTTGCAATATTCCTGTACTTCTCGAAGGCCCATCAGCTGTTGGTAAAACTAGTTTGATTCATCATTTATGTCAATATGTTGATTACAAAACAATGTTCAATCGAGATTGTGTATCGTCGATTAAACTCGAACGAGTTAATAATAGCGAAACAACGACTATTCAAGATTATTTGGGCACTTATTTACCGGTTAACGATGGATTTCTTTTCCAAAAAGGTGCTCTTTATCGTGCAATGGAAAACGGTTGGTGGTTTCTTGCTGATGAATTTAATCTTGCTGATCCATCTGTTATGAGTGTTCTTTTCCCATTACTTGAAGGGAAAAATTCGATTGTTATTCCATCAACTGGTGAAGTAATTTATGCTAAAGTTGGCTTTCAATTTTTTGCCACACAAAATGATTCTTCATATCTTAATCGACATCAATTACCGAATTCACTTCGTAATCGTTTTCTTGAAATTCAATTTGATGATTTTCCTAAGAATGAACTTTGTGAAATTCTTCACAAACGAAAAAGAACCTGTGAAAGAAATTTGAATGAAGATGATTCTAATCGATTAGCTGATTTTTATCATCGATTGATTAACACTCAAGCTCGATTAACTTTTCGTGAACTAATTAAATGGATTCATCGAGATGAACTTTTCTCCTCTAAAAACGATCTTTCACCATTGACGGGATTGTCATTACTTATTGCAAAATATCCTTTGCAATCAAATAGTCGACAACAAATTATCGAACAATTGAAAGATATTTGGAAAACAAAAGAATCTTTATTAAATCCCAAGTTTGAAATCAAGCAGATCGGTGGAAATATCCTTCGATTTCAAGAAAATAATCTTTCGATGGACATTGAAACAATTCCATTCGAACAAAGTATTGTTTCACTTTCACCTGAATGTTTTAAACAATCGCTCATTCGTCTTGCTCTGGCTGTCAATGCTGGTGAACCCGTACTTTTAATTGGACCAAATTCCTATAAAAGTCTTCTTGTCGATACTTGGGTCAAATTAATCAATCGTTCTGATGATTTCATCAAAGTCCATTTGACTAATGATACCGAAACAAACGATTTAATTGGTGAAATTCAACCGTATAATTGTATCGATTTGCTGAAAAGATTAGGAAATATTGTTCAAAACTTTATTCAACGTTTTCGAAGTTTGTGTTCAAATGAACGAGATGAAAATATTGAAGGAACATGTCTAAAACAATTGACTTTGTTAGTCAACAAAGATCTTGTTGAAGCAATAAGAAACTTTGAAAATCTTTCGAATATTTCCAATGAACAATATCAAGAAAAAGATTTCAAATTCAATAATTTCAATCAATTACATGAACAAACTGAAAAATACCTATGGCCAAGTATTAAGAAGTCAAATGAACAAGTGTTTGATGATGATGATTATCAATATGATGACGATGCTTATGATCAAGTGGAATCCGATACAACAGAAACTGTATTAGAAACAACGATGGATGTGTCTCATAGTTCGATTTCAATTGAAGAAGATCAATCAATTGTACGAACCCCTTCGGATATTTTCATCAACCAATATTCTTTCAATAAGCACAAACTCACGAGAGAACTTTATGAAATAATCAAGAAAATTTATCATTTGATTGATGGAAATGATGTGTTGAAAAGATTTTGTTCAATAGATCCAACATTATCTGATTATCGATCGAAATTGAATGAACTTTATCAAAGTTTATCTCATGAAAATCTTGATCTTCGAAAACCATATTTTTTGTTTAACGATGGACCAGTAACAAAAGCAGCGAAACAAAGTGGAATTTTATTTTTTGAAGATCTTGATCTGCCCAATCAAACTGTTATTGAAAGATTAAATTCAATGTTTGAAACTAATCGAACATTTACATTAACTGAAGATATAACAACATCTGGAACTGACAGACAATTAGAAATTAAATTAACAAAACATTTTCAAATCTTTGCCAGTGTTCATCAAGATGATTTTCATCAACAAATCAAATTAAGTGCAGCAACACGATCACGTTTTACTCAGATTTATATTTCTCCTTATAATGAAGATGATTTAAAAGATTTAGTTAAAATTCATTTGAATCAACAAACAAAGTCTTCGGAAGAAATTAATTTAATGTTTTCTCTTCGAACAAAGATTCATTGTGAAATGGAAAATAAATTGTCTAATGATGTTCATTTATTATTTCGGTGGATTGATTTTATTAATCAACATAAAAAGGATGTTACTTTGATGGAGAAGATTCTCATTGGTGCTCGTTTTATCTATTTTGATCTTTTACCAATGGATCGACAATTAACCGTCTTTGATGATTGGTTACAATCACAAAATAAAACACAAGAATTCGGATGTTATCGTCGATTTTTTCAACAATTTCCCATAATGAATCAAAATGTTTTTAAACTTACTGAAGGACAACTTGTTTTGGATACTTTTGATTTAAGAATTCCTTGTGATGAAAATCAACACGAATTCAATCAACGATTGAAGAAATTTGAAGAAAATTTTGTTGCTACATCAACATCGATTAATCAGATCGCTCGTATTTTCACCGCTGTTTCTTGTCGAACTCCATTATTACTCGAAGGACCACCTGGTGTTGGTAAAACACAAATTATTCTTCAAATAGCGTCATTAATTGGAATGAAATGTGAAAGAATAAGTTTATCAGGAAATACAACACTTGATCAATTAATTGGATGTTATGTTCCTCGATTTGTCAAAAATGTTCGTGTCTTTCAATGGCAACAAGGTCGATTGATTTCAGCTATTCGAGAAAAACGATGGATTTTACTTGATGAATTGAATTTGGTTTCTCCAGAAGTTCTTCAAGGTTTAGCACCATTGTTTTATCGTTCTACAAAATATTTTCATATTCGAATGACTGACGAACGAATCTGTTTAGATAATATTCAGATCTTTGCTACGATGAATCCATCAAATATTAACAATGGAAGACATCGATTAGCAAGATCAATTCAAAATTTATTTGCTCTTGTTCAAGTTGATGATTATCATGAAGAAGAAATACAAATGATTCTTCACAGATGGTTCGCAAATGTTCAAATAAATAATGAGCAAATCAATGCGTTGTTTCAATTACATCTTTCATTCAAATTACAACTTTCACAAGGTGTTCTTAGTCGAACAAGAGCCTCTTATAATGTTAATCTGAGAGATTTAGCTAAATTTCGTGATGTTTTTTGTAGTTTAATCAATAGTCAATTATTTCATGAAGATGCACAAATGATTTCATCTGTGGATAAGAATTTTCTTATTCTTCATTCTCTCCGAAAATCTGCTCAGATTGTTTATGCTAATCAGTATCAAGATGAAAATGATTTTCAGCACGCATCAAATATGATTAATGAAATATTTCCAATTTCAATAGAATTCCAGGAAAATGCTCGTTTTATTGAAACATCATCATCGTCAACATTTATTCGTATTGGATCGATTTGTATGAAAAAAGGTTCTCATTTTCAATCCACATTTACATCTGAATTAATTCATACAAAAAGAACGATTGAACAATTAGAACTTCTTGCTGCTGTGTGTCAATCGAAACGAACGATTTTACTTGAAGGTGATGTGTGTTCAGGGAAAACTTCCTTAGTTATTGAATTAGCTCGATTGACACAAAATAAACTCGTTCTTATACCTTTACATGAGAATTTTCAAAGTAGTGATCTTATTGGTTCATTGTTACCATCGATCTTTGATAAAAATCAACATCCAGAATTCGTTAAAATCGATGAATTATTTCATGAAATCGAGAAATTCATTTTAATGAACATTCTGCCAATTCTTTCAAATATTTATATTGATTTTCAACCATTTTCATTGCTGAAAAGTATTCTTCAATTGAGAAAGTCCATATCGAAAGGAAATTTGAAAGAATTTTGTGCTTTTCAAATCGAATCACTAAAGCAAATGATCGATCTTCTAAAAAAATTCAATCAAATCGAAGAACAAAAAGTGAAAACATTTGTAACTCATTATCAAAAGAAACTTGTCGATGCAATGGAAATATTGGAAAATATTCAAACAAATCTCACAACAGAAATGGCATTTACTTTCGTTGAATCCGAATTGATTCAAGCGATGACCTATGGTTCATGGGTTCTTCTCGATAATCTAAATAGTGCATCGATTGATGTTTTGGAACGTTTAAATTCATTAACTGAAGAAGATTCTTTTCTTTATTTACACGAACATCCTGATCAAAGAATTTTTAAAAGATCAGATGGAACTATTCATGAAAATTTTCGTTTATTTACAACAGCAAATTTCAATCGAATATATTCGAATAAATTATCAGAAGCATTTTTAACTCGTGTCATTCGATTTTCTTTACCACAAATTGATCAAACTGATCAACTTGAACATCTTGTCAAGACTCAACTTGCTGATCTTTCTGGTGGACATGAATTTGCTCAAGTGTTTGTTACAATGCATCGATATGTGAAAGAAAATGTTGTTAAACAACAATTGATTTATCCAAATCATTTTCAAGTAACTTATCGTTTATTACAACAATGTCTCCAAACATTCAAATCTTTTCTAAAGACAAATCTCTCATCTGTTGACGCTTGTGTTTATTCTCTTTTTCGTTCTTATTGTTCATCATTATCAAATGATGAACAACATCGAACATTTCTTCGTCAATTAGATGAAGTTATTGTTTCATTAAATCTTCATTTATCATCAACGATATTCTCAGCACCCGTTTCGTTCAACAATAATCGAGATGAACAAATTCTTCAATTGAAAATGATTTCATTGGAACGATTTATGATGACATTATCTATCAATGTAATTGAATTTCTTCCTTCGGATCAAATTCGAAATGTTTTGTTGTTCATTCTCGATGAAATTCTATTACATATCTTCCCAAATAATGTGGAATTAATTGAAGCAAAAAATCGTTTAGTCAATGAAGATCAAACTGAACTGATTTTGGAAATTGTTAAACGATCAATACAAATTGAAAACATTGAAAAACAATTGACATTAGAAATATTTATCGAAAATGTTCTCAAATCATTGCAAATCTATGTTGAAAATATATCAATAGCACTGGAAGATTATATTCTCAACTGTTCATATACCGATGTTCAGCAACGACGATGTTTTATTCAAAGAATTCTTTCTGTTATCGAGATTTTCTCTCAATTTTTCAATTATTTAACATTTTCGAAACGTTTCCGTGGAATTTCATCGTGTTTTCAATCTCTCGTTGCTTTTCGAGATCAGTTAAATCCATTGAAAATCCTCATTGAACCCTCGTTTATTGAATTTCGAAGTAAATATTGGGAAACAATTACGAAAGATTTGACAATCAACATAAATCTTCTTTGTGTTTTTGAAGAACTTCAATCAAAACCAATTCGATTTGTAGATAAACAAATTCGACGATTGATCGAAGGATTTCTTTTGTCCAACACTTGTTCATCAACAAGTCGTGATCTTTTACAGAAATATCTCATCATTTTAGAATTTATTCGAATTCATTGGACTTTTAAAGATTATTTGAATAAATCAATTCGTCAATCATTACAAGAAAATGTTTCAATTACCGAACAATTTCTTCTCGAATGTGATCTCAAATATGCTTCATTGGATTTACATCGACAAATTGATAAACTAATCGAACAAACAGTGAGGAAATTACCAGCTGAAGTTGAATCTGATCAAATCAATGACGATTTTCTTCGAATAAAACAACAATTAGAAAATGAAAGAAAACAATTTGAAGATTTACAAAATGAAATTGATGAAATTCAGCGACGTCTCAAGAAATCAAATGATGAAGAAATCTCACCATTCTTGGATTTTATAACACCGAATGTCGCGATTCTTCAACCATTTGGAGAAAATCTTCAATCAAAAGATCATGAAATTCAAAGTCAACTTTGTTTAAAACAAAAAGATTTAGAAAAATTGAGTCAACAAATACAACGATCAACACAACAATTCAACGAAATCAAAGAGAAATATAAGAAATATCTTGATAAAGCAAGTGAAGCGCGAAATGTGTTTCGTTCCTCTTTGGAAAATATTCTTCAACTTTCATCATTTGATAAACTTCGTTTGAATTATGAGAAAAGTAATACAGAACAATTAAATCAATTATGCGAATGTTTTCATCGATATCATTCAAAATTGAAATTTACTACTAAAGATTTTCCTATCGATTTCAATTCTTTGATAAATACAACGAATATTAAACAATTACTTGGTAATGAACAAATTAGAAGATCACCTTTGTTTTTCTTCATTTCCACATTTTATTGTCTTCCACAATTTTCACATGAAATTTCTATTCGAATTTTCTCCAATTGGAATCAATTAATCGAACAGAATATCGATATTAATTCATTTAATGCAAATCTCGAGTTATTTTTTTGTCCAAATCAAAATCCCAACGATTGTGCTCGTCTCAAATTTCTTCGCGAAGATCAACAATTCACCGTGAATATTTTCAGTTTGAATCGACAATTTCCTCTTGACGAATTACAAAATTATTTCGAAAATCTTTTACCTTTGAATATTGATTTATATATTGAACAAATGAATTCATTCAATAATCAAAATCTTCTCTCAAATGATCATCCAGATCTTTTCTCTTTTTGTTGTTTATTACAAATAATGAATGAAATACATCAAAGTGAACAAGATAAACTCTATGAACAAGGTTTAAACATTATTCAACGATTAATTGATAAAAATCCACTTCGAACGCGAATTTCACCTGCTATTACTTATCATCAAGTTTGTTCATTGAGAAATCAAGCTGAACTTTATTATCGAAATGAAATCAATGAAATGAATCAATGGTCAATCTGTGTACTTCAATTGTGGAATTTGTTGAAACCTTTTCAAATTGAATTTTCTTCTTCAACTTGTCAAACTATTGAAGATGATCTTCATAATACAATCAAATCATTAAAAATTCAAACTCTTAATGCACGTCTTGTTTCATTAGCCTTTTTAGAAACTCAATCGAATTCATTTGTTTCGAAACATTTAATTGCAAATAGTTTAACAATCGATAAACATCCCATCACTAAACAATCAATTGATGAATATTCATTTCTTCTCAATGCAATACAAAAAAGTCAATTACTAATGAAATTAATCATTGAATTTGTGATTAATAATGATAAACTCGATTTGGAAAAGATTTACCAAAAAATGATTGATTTTGTTGATTATTTACAAAAAATTTTTCATTCGATCTTTTCCGTAATTGATATGAAAAACGTAGTTTTACATATCTCTCAACATTATTCGAAAGAACAATTAAACGAATTTCAAAAGATTATCAATGAATTTCTGAGTAACATCGATTTTCCATCAATGTTAATACGAAAACACAATTTGGAAAATTTCATCTCAAATCTTTGGCCAATGTTTGATATTCAACGAAAACCTTTAACACTTATCAATACACATTCAATTATTCGACGTTCAAGTTCATTTGAAAGTCTCCTTTGTCGTCGAGAAATGATTGAAAAAACAATTGAAGAAATTCGTTGCAATTTAATTGATATTCTTTCACGAATTAATCAACTTCCCTTAAAACCACATGAATTAATTCGTCAAATTCATTCAACAATATACGAATTAAAAAGCTTCAATATTGATCAAAATAATGATAATCATTTGAAAATATTTCGAAATAAGGAAAAACAAATTATTCAATCTTATGAATTATATCGAATAGAAATTAAGAATTATAAATCATTACAAATTTATTTACCATTCGATCGACCAATTAGTAATTTAAATGAACAACAAATTCGTATTACTCATCCAATTGAGATCGATTTGACGAAGAATTTTGAAGAATTTGAAAGAATTCAAGAGAATATTTTTCAACGAAGTCATTGTAAAACATTATTTGATGTTGATCAACTTCCACGTTTAGTTCACACATCAATTATTAATCAATTGTGGCTTCATACTCTTTCTTTGTTTAATAAAGAAAATTATGAAGAATTCAAATCATCTTTAATGCTTTTAAATGATGATTTAACTATCAAATATAATTGTCAATCAAATGAAAAGTTCTTTTTTAACGAAATTATTAGAATTTATTCTCAACATCGATGTCAATTGTTAATAAATGAATGGAAACAAAAGGAAAGTCTTTCAAATTATCGTTTAGTAGCAGATTTTATTCGTACTTTCAAACATTGGCCTCGTAATCTTCATGTCAATATGTTTAATCTACTTGATCATATTCAAATGTTCAATGATATTTTCAATAATACACGAAATAGATTGAAAAACTATACAACAGAAATGATTTGTGATTTATTACCAATAGAAATTCGACCTGAAGATTTAATTTGTTTTTTTGCACCACAATATACAACAATTATCAATGAATTGATAAAAAAACTTGAACAAATCGATGAGAAATTATCGTGTAAGATTGATGAAATTGAACCGATCTCTTTAACTTTTCTTGATCCATCAACGGATGAGAAATCACATGGTTTAGTAAGTTTCTTCTATTATGATCAACATTCGCGAAAAATTCCTTTATTCGATGAGAGAAAACATATTCATTATATTATTGACCGAACATGTCAATATCTTCAACAACTAATCAACACCATTATTGATAATAATTCTCAAAAATCAAATCTACTTTCAATTGCCACCAGTTACAAACAATTGTTTCCTCTTCAGATTTCATTGTCCTGTGCATTTTTAATAATTAGTGATTGGTCAGCAATGTGTTTAGAAGATTCTCCGACATTTGTTGAACATTTAGTTTTAAGGAAATTCGACGAAATCCAAAATCAGATCAAACAAATGGAAACAAATTTGAAACAAATGACAAATCAATTGACGAAATCTTCCATCGAACTTGAAGAAAAAGAAAAATATCGAAAAGAAATTGAGAAAGAGTTAAAACATCGATCCAATTGTGAATTCATCGTTCAACAACGTCTCGAACAAGATTACAATGTTACCAATAACAAATGTCAAATAATGCATAGTGAACATCAACGACAACGAGAAAATGTCGAATTCTTACAAAATCAATTGAAAGATTTTCGTCTTTCAGCACAACAACAAATGAAGAATGAACAGATTCAATGGTTTGATCGCTTTAAACAATCATTCAACCAAATTTCCCATTTAATAAGACGTTTTATCATTCCACAGAATCATCATGACATGTGCGAACAAATACCAAATCATGATGAATGTTTAACTGCATTAGTTGATTTCTTCAATCACGATCTTTTTCAATCGATCGAAGACAAAAGATTTAATAATGATGAGATTTATCAATTGAACGAACAACAGATTGAATCTTTTATGAAAGATTTACGTGAATTAGCAAATGAATTACAAGAAAGTGATACAATGTTCTCTTTCTTACATTTCTATTTCAATGTCATATCAATGTCATTGTGTTCATTGAAAAATTCGATTTTTAATTGGAAAAATTATTTGAAAACAATTCAAAGTTCAGAAATTGAATCTTTTATTTCAAATGGAACAAAAGAAATTCTTTGTCAATTGAAATCTTCTTTAATAACAAAATCTTTTCAATTTATTCATCTTGTTCGTAATGCTCACGAATACGATGAAGTTAAAAGATCAGCTGAAGAAATTTATAAAACTCTTCGATGTCAAACTGATCGAATAATCAATCATCTCATAAGTCAACGATTATCCGAACAAGTTCAAAATCTTTTCAATGATTTTAATCAATTCATAATTAATCTTTTATTAATTGGTTGTAAATATTCACAAAAACAATTTCAAATTGAACACACATTAGATGATTTACTTATTGGTTTTACGTTTGAGACAATTGATTTGAAATCTTTAAACAAAGAAATTGATTTACTTCAATTACTTGATGATTATGAAATTCAAATCAAATCACATATGAATAGTTTATCAAACATTATTTTACATTTAACATTTGATTTTAATTCAAGTTTATATTCAAATTTTGAAGAACTCAATCAATTAAATCTTTCATTTATTGAACTTGTTGTTCCAACTGCTTTTATGATCGAAAAAACTTGGTCAACTATTCTCACATTATTTCATCAAATCAAATTTCATCTTTTCACCGACGAATTTTCTCTTTTTCTATCAATTGCTAAGGAATTCGAAAAATTTGTTCATTCTTCATATGAAACTAAAAATCAATTCATTTTTCTTGATTCAAAATTTGATATTCAATGTTTTGAACAGATTTCGAACTTTCTCAATACTCTTTGTGATTTGTTGATTCGACGACGAGCAAATATTCATTCATTTTGTAATGAAATGAAAGAACGATGGAATTTAACTTGTCGCGAACTTTTCCAAGGATTTATCAAAGTCAAATTAATCGTCTTGAATAGAAATATCGAAAAATATCGACGAATAGAAAAAGATTTTCATTCACAGACAAATCGAGAAACAATGAAATTAGCTGCGATTGATCCAATTCTTGTGAAAAGAAAAGATCTTCAAAATCAAAATGAACAATGGATCAAATTAAAACATCTTCAAGTTCTTTATCATTTACTTTATCACGGATTGAATCAATTTGCAAGAAAATTCGATGAAATTCCAATTCAATTGATTGGCTATCAATTAACAATGATTTTCTTGAACAAAACTACAAAAATATTTCAACAAGCAGAAGATCTCTTCCTTCAATATTCAATATTTGACGTCGTCGATGATCGTTCATCGATTTTATATGAATTACTCAATGAAATTTTTCAATTGGAAAATAAATTCTTCAATGAAACATATTTAGTCTTATTGAAGACACAACTCGAAGAACTTTATGAAAAGAATTGGCAATTAAATGATAAATTAATATCAACCAATTCATCTTCTACGCAATGGAAATCAGCGAGTCTCGCGTTTCTCAATCTTCGATATGAAACACGAAAGAAAATGCTCAACAAGACAAATCAATCGATAAACTTAAAATATAAAGAACAAATTCCATTGATTATTGAAGATGTTCGAAAAAGAATTCAAGTTGAGCAATGGGGTAATGAACAAATCTTTACTTTAGCCACATCACAGTTTTTAGTGAAAAAGCTTATGAATCTTTATGAACGCTATGAAAAGTCACTAAATCTACAAAAAATTGATTTTAGAGAAATATTTCCAACAACGAAAAATGTTTTCACTTTTGAAATCTTTTCTAACGAAATTGTCTCGGTTAATCTTCATTTTTGGGTTAATGATCAAGATCAAAGTGATATTCAATTTCCTATGAAAATTTCTCGTCGTCAATCTCAAGTCTCATTTGTTATTAATACAACAATTAAACAAATCTCCATTGAAATCAATTCACAATTTGGACCAAGAATATCTTGGACAGATCTTGTCAATCGTGCAATGACTTATCGATACTCTAATGACTTCTATATTAACATCACTCGTCGATATGAAAGTTCTCTCAATTATATTGTTGATCGACACGAAAATTCTCTGGAAAACAGATCTTTTGACGAACTTAGTACCACTATTGATCAATTAGATAATGATTTCACTCAAATTATCCAATCTGAGAACGAACATCAATTATGGGAAAACTCACCGATCACTCGTGGTCTAAAGAGTTTGAATAATTGTTTTGAGAAAGTCAAAGAACTTCTTCGAATTCGTCGATTAAATCCGGAAGATTTGAAAAATGATGAAAATATCGAACAAATCTTTGCAATTCTTCCGAATTTAGAGAAATTCCGACAATCGGAGAACTTCTTAGAAATTGATGAACTGCAATCGATTATCGTTCCAAGTGAAATTGTCGATGATAATGACGCAGCACTTCAAACAGATTTCGTTTATGTTTGGACAAAATCAATGGAAAAAGCGTATCTTCAAGCAAAGAAAAGTCTGTTAGAAATTATTCCAAAGATTCAACAACGATTTTCTGCTATTTGTTCGATTAAAGTTCATTTATTGTTAATTTATGCTTGTTCGAACAATCGAATAAATCGACAAGACAAATTCAATGAAATGATCGATGATTGTCAAAAGTTATTTCAATATTCAACAAAAATTCATCTTGATAAAGAAAAACAAATGTTGGATGAAGCACAAAGATTCTTCCAGAAACGTCAAAATCCCACAAAACTTCACAAAGAAGTGCAAATGTTAATGAAAATCAATGAATTTACAATTGAAGATGAACTTGACGAAGCATTTCATCATTCTCGAATGGATCGTGATGTTCATTTATGGTTAACTTTTGATCCAGAGACCGATTCGATTGTTGCTCATCCAAATCCAGCTCAATTAAATTTTGGTATCGCCCTCCGTTATGTTAATCAACAAATCATTCAACGGATTTATATTCATAACTGTTCACAACAGAAATTTACTTTGAAAGTTGAACGAATTCCAACCAATGATGATGTTTTTCATTTGAATAACGAAGAAATTCTTCTCAACAATGGTCAAATGGGAGAATTCGAAGTTTTATTAAAACCTTTCACTAAAAGTCAACAAATTGAAGAAAATTTCAGTTTGAAAATCAATGAGAAGACAACATTAATTAATGCAATCAAAGCAACAGTACGCATCGTCAATGTTGATGTCGAACTTTCCGAATCCAAGATCGATTTTGGTGTTGTTCCCTGTCGTGGACGACCAATTGAGAAAACAATTTTCATTACCAATGTTTTACCATGTGCAGTACGTGTCAGAGGACAAATCGTGTCAAATGAAAATCAGAATTTTCATTCAAAATTGACGATTTTAGAAAAAGATTTGATTTTAAAAATTGATGATAAATTACCATTTCGAATAATTCTTCAACCAACAGAAAATGTCGAAGAAATCATTCACGCTGATCTCTCACTTGCTGTCGACACCGGAAAGAATCTCAAATGGATTCCAATTTCAGCAAATGTTCAAAAGAGTTCATTGAAGATCTTCTATGAAGATCAATTAATTCTTAACAATGTTCAATCAGGAGAGATTTTTCTTCAGAATTTTTATCCTGGTGAACAAAGAAAAATTCCATTGAAAATGATCAATAATGGTTCTGTTGATTATGCCATTCAATTATCATCTAATGATGAAGAAATTCAAGTTGAAGATCAACAAATTGATTTACCAAAAGATATCAGAAAAATAATTGAAATTCAATTCAATATTTCTGAACAAATCATTCGAAAAGAACTTTGTCTAAACATTGATTTTGTAAATATTCATCGTCGATGTCAAATTCTCTTTAAATGTCATGTTGTTCGACCTTCATTAAAATATCATTTACGCGATAGTGATCGCGATCATACAATTATCATCGAGAATGAACATCAACTGCAAAATCTTTGGAATTCCAATAAACATCAATTGGAATCGATTGATCATCAAGTTATATTCAAAAACAATGGACTTGTGGCAGCAACACTTCAACTAGATCAATCGTGTTCCTTACCTGATGAACTTCGAGTTCAACCAAATGAAGCAATTATTCAACCACAATCAAAATTCATTGTTAAACTTCGTTATAAACCGAAAGATTTTCATTCATTTCAACATCTCATTCGTTTCTTGAGTAACACGTCGACAAAGATCATTGAAATTCCTTATTCTCTTAGATTTCAACGACCAATTCTAAGTATAAATCCAGGTTGTGTCATTGATGTTGGTTTAATTACATTTGGAACAATAATTCGAAAAAAACTTTTCAATGTGAAAAACCTTGGTGAATCTGATCTTCGAATACGTTTCAAAGGACCTTTCTTTAAAAATTCCATTGTTAAAGAATTAGATCTGGAAAATCCATCTAAAGCATCCTCGACCACATCAGCTGTAACCGAAAATGGTTTTATCATTTCACCAAAAATGAGTCGTTCATTTCTCGTGAAAATTTTTTGCGAAAATCATTCATCGATTTCAAATTTACCAAATCTTGTTGTTCTCGGCGGTTATAAACTCATCACTTCATGCGATCCGATTATAAGTATTGATGGAAATCTTGTTAATCGAGAATGGACAATTCTTCTTATCGGTCATAGTCGATCAATTCCACTTTTGAATCAACCAACCGAGTCACATTGCCAATCTTGGTCATCATTGAGACTACTTCAGCCTGAATGGCTTCGTTCAATTTGTCAAAATTATCAAGATTTATCATCGTATGTTTCTCTCATCATTTTTGTTTCTCTTGCTCATATTTGTGGTTCACAACAAACAACTGATTCTTTACCGATTTCTGTCGACGAATGGAAATCATTTTGTAAAACAATCAGCACCGGAAATCATCAAATTTCTCTTGATATGTTTGACAAGAACGAAAGAATCGACGAAAATCTTTACATTTTATTGAAACTACTTCAAAATCAAGACTTCAATTCTTCATTTTTTTATCATTCAGCCATTTTCTTGAAGTCAGTTGATAATGAATTAACAATGGGCGCACAATTGTTTTCTTGTACGAATTCATCGAGGAACATCGATGAATCGATTACTTTTCAATACTATATCAATTATTTATATAAATTTTATAGAGAATCAAATCTTAAAGAATCGATTCGAAATTCTTTTAAATTGGTTTATCGTTGTTTTGCTAAAGATCCGAAAATGAATCAATCAATTGTTGGTTTTGTTCATTTCCTCTATGGAACACTTGAAATGAAAACAGTTGATGAAATTCTCGATAAATTCTTGTCAATGTTACCCAAAACGCATTCAATTTGTGAATTATTCTCCTTACAAGAAGATTTTCAATGGAAAATTCGTTTACTTATGATTGATGATGAAATTCGAGATGTTATTATGAAATTAATCAATGAAGATTGTCAAACATTAATTGATCTGAATTGTAAATTTATCGATCAACAATCATCGAAGATGTGGAAACGTCAAATTCTACTTTTACTTCGAATTATTACGAAACCTTGGAGAAAATTGAAGGATCATCAAAGAATACAGATTTTCAACGATATGTTTGCTGATTATACTGATTTTCTTTCAATCTTAATTGAAACAAATGAAAATTCTTCAAAAATGACGAAATGGATTTCGATTTCCAAATTTATTTTTGAAAAACTTCATTGTTTAACATCGTTTGATGAAATTTGTTCACTTTTTCAAACATCGAATGAAAATCAAATATTGGAATTACTTCGATCATTTCCTCATCTTGAACATATTCATTATGATTTAGCCAAACAAATCTTGACATGTCAAAAATCGATCAATGAAGATCATTATCCGATTTCTTCATTTGTTGAGATCGTTTCAAAAATATCGAATTTCACCAAAGATCAGAAACATTCTGCACAAATGTCTTTCATTTCAGCTTGGAAATTAACACAAATTGTCAACGAAGTCAATACAAGAGTTTGTGACGTAATTGAAGAAATTCTTTTATTTTTTTATACTTTAAATATTGATAAACATTGGTCATTAATTCGTGAATCATTGAAACAAATTTCAATTCATCCGTCTTGGCAAACAATGATGCGTTTAGTGAATTTAATTAATGAAGATTATTCAGTAAATAAACATATCGAGCAATTTCATTGTCAAACGAATCAAGAAGAGATGTTACAAAGTGTTTTTCAATTATGTTGTGATCTTTCATCTGATCGAGATGGGAATTTCTGTGAAAGAAATTTCCAAATTACTCCAATCGATTCTCCATCGAAGATGAATATCTTGAAGAGTATTCAACCGGTTGTTTCAGGTCAATTAAGACAAACAATTGATTTAATACTCCAATCGATGGAAATATTTGAAAAAATCTTTTCAAATGCTGACAATTTCGATCTTCTTCCATTGGAAATTCTTCCATTAATGTGGCAAACAGTATTTCATCTTGTTGATGAAGACTTAGTACGAAGTTTTCAAGCTATTTCAGCAATTCTCGTCTCTTTCCAAAGTTTAATAATGTTCAAAGGCGAATCTTTCTGCCAACAACTTTTCACGAGTAATTTATCATCAGCATTTTGTATTTTGGCACATTATCGAGAAAAGGATCTTTCGAAAACGAAATCTTCAACTTCTTCATCGAATATTTCATCTATTTTCACATTGATTCAAACTCGAATAGAACAAAATAATATTTCACCATCGAATTCAATTCCATTCGAAGTCAAACAATGGATTATTCCAATTGAAAAACATCCACCGGAAAATCTCCTTCTTCCTAAAATAGATTTATATTCAGCAGCAACGCTGAAAACAATGGAGAACACAGTTATGAAATATGTAAATCGTTCAAACGTGCCAAAAATCTCCCTTGATACTCTTGACAATATCGAATCTTTAGTCAATTGGCTATTTGATGAAGAAACTGCTATTACTGAATGGTATGATGCCTTTGTAACATTCAATGTTCTTGTTTGTCAATCATCTACAAATGAGAAACTCGATCGAATATCCTCCAGTACTTGTCTTGTTCAACGTGGTCTTCAATTACTTCGTTGTCTTGTGATCATTCGATTAAGACTCGAACCAATATTTACTTATGAAGCTTTGAGTTTTGTTTCAAATCATATTGCACGAATAGAAAAATGTTTTCGTTCATTGGCTTTGGACAAATGTGTTCAGTTGAAGAAAGCATTGGCGTTACTTCACATCGATTTAACTGAGTCACCACCTTATTTCAAACGATCGTCATTTTCGTCGTCTCGATCAAAATTTAAATTCAAATTCGATTTCGATTTCAATAAAAATCTTAACGATCAATCCGAATTTTCAACAATTTATGGAGAGAAATACGCTGTGAACTTATCAAAATCTCAATGGAAACGAATCCTCGGGGGAAAAGCTCATAAAAGATTTGATGAATTTGTCTCATCTCTCGATGATGTTCCTTCATCGGCGATGGAATTTGATATTGAACATCGAAATGAAAGAGATTTGTCGAGTAGCTTTCATCGAAAATCAAAACTTTCATCGAAGACTTCATTTGGTTTTAATTTTGGAGCATCAATGCAAAGTCATGGATCCATTGATGCTAATCTTCTTCCTGAAATTGATTCTCAATTGAAATTCAAATATTTGAAAGACGAACGACAATTAATGAAAATGTATCGAGCTGTTGATCAACGTATTTCATCGATTTCAAATATGAATCAACAGAATACTCATGTATCATTACAAATTCCTTCGAAAGCATCAAGATGGACATACGAACGACTCATTGAACTTCCTGTTTTGATACAAATGATCAATCTAATGATCGGAGCTTTTCGAACAAATTGGGAACGTTTATTCAATCAAAGTCAAGGAACTCATTTTCAAGATATTCATTGGTGTATTTTAATTGACAATTCCGGTTCAATGAGTGTTCATCGAAATATTCTTTATGAAAGTCTTGTCATCTTAATGGAAATGTTACATAAACTTGAAAGTCCATTTTCAGTTTCTCGTTTTGGTGGTCGAACTAATCAAAGAATATTGAAATCTTTTGACGAACCATTCTCTCTTCAACTTGGTCAATATATTCTTCAATCTTTGACATTTAATGAAGGAACATATCCAGCTGTTGGTCTTAGACGTATTCTTCAACTTCTTTTTAATCAATCAGAAATATCCAAATTACCAATTGAACCTGTTCATCGTTTTGTTATTATGATTACAGATGGTCTTACGAATGAGAGAGATGATACAACTTATTATAGTAGTTTAACCAAATATCAAATTGATCTCGGAATTCTTTTTATTGAAACTGAACAAGCAGAGACAAGTCAAATACTTCTTGATTGTTTAAAACGAGTTGAAAATGTTGTGATCAAATCGAACGCCATGTCTGATTTACCTTATTTAATGCCTGAATTATTACATAAAATGATACGAAAACAATTTAATTCAATGTTAACGAAAGATATAGAAATTCTTCTTCCATCAATCATTGAAACTCAAATACCAAATCATGATGGATCAACTTCAGCAATTAATAAATATGAAAAACATTTTAATCGTGATCTCAAATCTTATTCAGTCAGTTGTCCAACAAGTATCATTCCTGGATTGATTCTAGTTCGTATTTCATTTCTTTTCCTTTCAAATTCATTTTCTAATTCGTTTTTAGACTCATTCGAAACTTCCGACTTATCTTTTACAATCCAACGATCGTACAAATTTGATTTCACATACTACTGGGAAATTATGTCAATATTATCAATTATTTCGATCAACACCAATGGTCAATGAAGCCGAACAGCATTGGTTCAATGATGAAACTCGATTTGTTCATTTGATTGATGATGTTGCTGAAATTCTTGGTAATTACGTTTTTCCAATAAATAAATTTACTCAACGACGTGCGGCATTACATGGTTCATCCCTCTATATGCCAGGTGTGATTAAAGCAATGAATAGTGAATGGCAATATAAAAAGATTTTTGCAGCGAAATTAGCTGGTGGAAAACGTGAACATGCAGTTTGTTTAGTTATTGATGTTTCAACTTCAATGTCAAATGTCATCAATGAATCAATTTATGAAACACTTGTTGTTCTCATCGCAACATTAAGAAAAATTGGAATTGAAAATATTTCAATCATTGTTTTTGGACAAACTGTTCGATTAATTAAAACCAATGAACAAGAATGGAATGCATTGATCATTTATACTTTAATGAAAGAATTACAATCGAAATCGGATCAAAATACAAAAGATGCTCATGGAATCGAAGCTGCGATTGATTTACTTCGACAATGTACAAATAAAGGAGAAAAGAAAATTTTGATTTTTACCGATGGTTATACAAGTTGTGGATATCATTTATCGATGGTTCAAAAAAGAGCTGAAGATAATCATATTCATTTAATTGCTTTAGCTATTGGAAATTATCGAAATAATTTAAAAAATGTTTATAAATCTTATATTCAATGTTCGAATGTTTATGGATTACCCGGAGCTTTTCGAGCGTTGTTTCAAAATGATATTCAATTAACTTCTTCTGATTGGATGATGAACAACATTACCTCTTCGGATATCGATTCTGATCGAAGTCTTTTACCAGGTCTCTACGAAACTCTTCAATCAGAGAAAGTTTTTCAACCATTAATCAAACAATTAGATGGACAACGTGATATACAAATAGTTAATCGGAATTTACTCGATGGAGATCTTACAATTGATCTTTGTTTTTGTCTCGATTGTACGGGAAGTATGTCTCGATGGATGAATGCTCTAAAAACACAAATGAAACAAATCATTAAGAATATTCAAGAAATGATTCGAAAGAAATATGAAAATCTTCGAATACAATTACGTCTGGCTCTTGTCGGATATCGAGATATTCATGATGATCCTCGTTTTTCTATTCGTGATTTTACAACTGATCACGAAGAGATTTTCAATGAATTAAACAAATTCATAATTACTGGTGGAAATGATATACCTGAAGATGTTCTTGGTGCACTTCACACTTGTTTAACTTTACCAGGTTGGAAAGCAAATCATGGTCGATTTATTGTTTTAATCACAGACGCACCAGGACACGGTGATCTCAATGATTTATTCCATGATGATCATCGACAAGTAATTTTCGAAGAGAAAACAAATTTATTTTTCATTTGAATCTTTTTTTAGGGAACTGATGAACATTCATTTACGAAGATATGTGAACGTCTTCTTCTCAACAATTATGATATCGATTTAATCTTGTGTTCAATTAAAAAAGAAGCTACAATGAAAATGCAAAGCGCTTTTGCGAATTATTATCGTCAACATGAAGAGAATACAGATAAAACATTTACTGTTGTTTATCCATTTGAAAATAATGAACATCTTATTCAATCATTTCATTATATTTTCGTTCTTGATGGATCAGATTCGATGGAAAATCATTGGCAAACAATGATTGCAGCATATCAGACATTTATTCAATGTCGAAAAATGAACCAAGATTTCGATGATATATTCAGTGTTATACAATTCAGTGATCAAGTAAACATTGTCTATGAACAGAAAAAACTTGACGAAGCTCATCATGAGATTCATCGAATTGGTGGTGAGACAAATTATGAAATTGTTTTGAGAAAAGTAGAAGAGATGATTGAAAATGATCAAAGTCAATCAGTAATTGTGATGATTTTCATGTCAAATGGAAAAAATCCATCAAAACAAAAGCCTGTTGAAATGATGAAGAAAATTCGAAATCAGAGTAAAGAAAAACATGATTTCGTTTGTCATACTGTCGCTTTTAGTCAAACATCGAGTTCAAATCAAGAAAACATCAAATTAATGGAGGATTTAGCAAAAGTTACTGATGGAATTTGTTATCAAACATTCAATGACGATCAGTTTAAAAAACCTTTTGTTGAAATTGCTGTTAATGACAAAACAACAAACAAATTGGTTCGAATTCTATGTGAAAGGCTTTCAGAAGCAATCGGAAAACAAATCTTAATTGATTTTCTGTGATTTTCGATCGAAATCTTGTTTTGTTCTATTTAAATAATCATTTTCTTTCTTTTGTCAATGTTGTTTTGTTTGTTTTCTATTTCAGATTATCAAATATAAAATTCATTCGAATATCTTGAAGAGAATTCGAATGGCTTCTACATCTGTACCAAATTACCCTAATCGAGAAATTTCTCAAACATTTAAAGATATACTTGACAATAAATGTCAATCACCGTTGATTTCAACTATAAACATTCTTCGACAAGTTGTTGAGGAATTCAAAACTCAAAATCAATCAAAAGATGATCCAAATAATGAAAATATTCGTAACGCTTTTGAACGATTAAGAGAAATTGTTGGAGAAATTACGACAAATAGTATCGATGATCCATATGAAATCTCTTTCATCATGGACACATTGATTCTTCCCTGTTTTCAATTTTATTCAACACATGAATTATTTTCGAAAGAATTCTTTCGACTATTTGCTCGTGTCATATCCCATTCATTTATTAGGAAGGACAAAGATTATCTCAATTCAATTGCCATTATAATCACTCGTTCAGTAATTTATACATCGAAAGCAGACATTATGAATTTAGATAAATGGACCAAGGAGAAATGGTTGGGAAAGAGAAAAGATAGAAATCGATTAATTTATCAATCAGACAAAGAATTTCCTTTCAAAGAAAATTCAAACATTGTCAAAACTTTAACGGATAACAGTAAATATCCTGTGGATTTTGATTCTCAATTAGTCCATTGGATTAATTCAAATCAAATTTCCCGACGAAAGAGCGAAAGTATTGAAACTATTCTCATGTGTTTAACTGATCTAGAATGGATTTTGCAAATTCTCATTAATAGTGACAAATGTCTGTCGCTTTTGCTTTCCTTTTCCATAAAAAGACCAAGAATTCGAAAGATTGAAATCAACGATCGAAACAACGATCAAGCGATTGCTAAGCTTCAATCAATTCAAAATGAAATCATTGGTCAATATGAATATTTATCGTTAAATCGTTTCGATAATTTTATAAATGTTCGTTGTCAAGTCGAATGGTCCGATGGTTATTCATCAATTTATCCAACAAATCAAATTTCATGTCGAACATCATATTTAGAAATTGTCGCGAAAATGCTCATTTTTAGTTGGAATTTCAATGACAATGAACGATGTTTATGGAATTGTATGATACAAAAAATTCATCAAATATCTCGAGATTCGTTAAAAGATTTCGAAGATTTTCTTCTTTATTTTGTTGAACACGATGATGAAAGTATTCGAGACATGTCATTCAAATTATTCTTATCATTTATCGACGATATCAACATTTCGGAAACGTTGAAACTATCTCGATTAATTTCATGTCGAATGATTGAACATATTTTGGAGAAATGTTGGAAAAAAAATCGATTTGATCTCGATACAAATGTCATTAATGCATGTCTTCGTTCATCATTAACATGGTCAATTAATGAACTTATTCATCTGTTGAAATCATTGTTAAAAACATTTCATATGATCTTTGATGAACAATCATTATGGTGGACATTCTTTCTTTCACTTATTGAAACAAATCTTCATCGATTAACTCTCGTCAAGACTGACAAAGATTTTACTGACTTTTCTTGTCAAATTAATCTTTCAATTGCCCAGAGAATTAGTCAATATTCAATCGAAAAGAATAATATCGATTTATTGAAACTTTTCATCGAGTCTTGCCCTTTTGATTGGATAAAAGTCTTTTTAGAGATGTTATCTGATGAACATACGAAGTCAACAATGTTAAATCAAGGTGTCGAGCTCTTTCGATTAGCTCGTGTCAAATCTTTTCATCAATGGAATATTTCATCAAGTGAAAAGCTTCTTCTCGATTATTTTCGATTGTCAATCAATCATCAAACGGGTTTATTTGTCGAATTATTAAAATTATTCAAACAGATCACTCCTCAACATTATTTGAACAACAATACGATTGATTACCGTCAGATATTTTGTCTTTTCATCGAAATTTTAGATCGGTCATTTCATTTGCCAAGTGAACATTGTCAATTTCATCGCGAAGTGTTCTCCATTGTTTTACCAATGATCTTCGATTATGTCAAACGAGCTTTACTCAACGATTCCATGTTGATTGAAGAAAAAGATCTCGAACGAATTCTTCGATCGACATTTTACATTTCAATTGAAAACACAGATCTTCGTTGTTTATTTCAATACATCATTCGAAAGGGACGAAAAGATTTGATCAATACGTGGATGGATGAACTTCTTTTATTTTTTTCGAAAGATGATCAATTTTACGAACGTTTGCGACTTTTTTCAATGGATGAAAATCAAATAAATGAACTATTAAAAGAAAAACTCGACCAAACAACAACTCTCATTTCAACAAGTTCATCATCAAATCTTTTCTCAACTCATATTCAACAATCAATGAAAATTTATCTGGAAAATCTTTTAAATTCCAATGAAAATATTCGATTGAGTGTCATTCGTTTGCTCATTTCAACTCTAAACGTTCAATCGAATGAGATTGAACAAATTTATCAAATTTTGCCCAAAACATCCAAAGTACAAGAAATTGAAACAAATGATGATGAACGAGGATGCAATTATTTAATTGAACGACAAGAAAAACGTTCCAAATATCAAATTCCTTTTCAATTAATCAAATCTTCGCATTTTCAACAACTCAATCAAGATTTACGTAGATCATTCGATGAAAACGAATCATCAAGCAAAGATCTTTCTGAATTTCGTTCGAATCGATCTTTAACTCAATTTAATTCATTGATTCCAAATGAACAAATTCATCAACCATTAGTCGAAACCCAATCATTGATTAACAATCGAAAACGAATTATTGAAGCTATTCGAACACCAATTCATCTTTTACTTCAAGGTGAAACCGGTGTTGGAAAAACCAGTTTAATCATTGATATTGCTCGTCAACTTCATCAACCATTAATTCGTTTTAATTTCTCATCGAAAACTGATCTTGCAAATCTATTTGGTTCATTTCAATTAAAAACAAATGGAAATCAGATGGAATTTCATTTTGACGAAGGACCATTTACTCGAGCATTTCGTCAGGGTCTCTGGTTACTCTTAGATGAAATGAATTTAGCATCACCAAATGTTCTTCAATCAATTGAACAAGCAATTGATTCAGGTATTTTATTTTTATCAAATGTTGAAGATGATCGAAATGAAAATGATCAACAAAACAAATCAAATTATCGAATTTATAAAATGCACGACAATTTTCGTCTATTTGCAACACAAAATCCGTCGTTAGGTCGATATAAAGATGCACGAAATGTTCAATCGACTTCATTAATGACACGTTTCAATGTTTTTCTTATCAATGGACCTGAACATGATGAATTGATCGCCATTATCGAACATCTTTTCAAACAAAAATCTTTTCGTTTTACGCTTCAAACACAAACAATGATTAAGCTTCATGAAAATGTTCTTCAACGAATTCAAACGACAAATTTTACTGAAAAACATACAAATTATTCTCAAATGACTATTCGAGAACTTTTTCGTTGGACTTTTAATCTTTGTCATTATGAAAACTTATTGAAATCCAACGGAGATTCGATATCTAATCCGAACGGAACATATATCAATGGAATTCTTGCCGAACAAGCGATGATTATCTATGCTTTACGATATCGTCAAAAGTCGAATCGAGAAGGAATTATCGATGAAATCAAACAAATTTATAGTTTAGATTCTTTATCATTATCGACAAATGTCATTGAACTTCAAGATTCACTCAAAGATTATTTGAAATTTCAAATCGATGAAAGAATTCTTTCGAATTTGTATTTAATAAATCTTGAACAAATTATTTCTCATTGGCCAAAAGATGTGTCTCAACCAAGAGAGAAAGATAATGTGAGAAAAATTATTCGTATTCATAATGAAATCTTCAAGAAACTCCATCTTGGACCAATTCATCGAATTTATCGATGTTCCTACGAATGTCTCTTATCAATTCTCAAAAAATATTTTGGACATAGTTTAGAAACTTTATCAAGAATTCTTTTCAAAACTTATCTAAATATAACTCGTGATGAAAATCAACAAAAAATTCTTCTCCAACTTTTGGAAGATCAATGTAATGAATTGAAAAATAAATCAAATGATCTTCATTCATTACCGATTGTTCCTCCACCGTTTTATCTTGATAAAGAAAGTCAACAACTGATGAAACATATTCTTTCTTTACCATCACAACAACCGATTCTTCTTGTTGGACCCGAAGGTTCAGGTAAAAGTGATTTTGTTCAAAGTTTAGCCAATCTTTGTCAAGTTCGTTGTGAACATTTGTATTTAACGCCACAAAGTGAACCATCATCATTAGTTGGTTCATTAGTTCCACAAGGCAAATCACCTATTTGGCAAAATGGATCTGTAACTGAAGCGATTGAAAAAGGTTATTGGTTAATTTTAGAAAATCTTTCCGAAGCATCGTCTGTCGTTCTTGAACGTTTAAATTCAGTTTTAGAACAACCACCACAATGGATTTTACTTGAAAATAATCAACTTGAACCAATGAAAGTTTCAAAAGATTTTCGTTTAATTGCAACAATTTCACCACCAGCATTAAAACGTCTTCAAAATGCTTCAATTGCAATTAATCGAGAATTATCACCAGCATTGTACAATCGATTTACAATATTTTATTATGAAGGTCTAAATTTAACATCTTGTGAAACATTTACTCAATTATTTCAAACATATTATCCAATTGATGATAAAGATCTTTTAGATTCTTTATACGATTTGATGCAAGATGAGAAAATGACAAGTCGAGATTTTGTTCGATGGATCGATTGTGCTTATCGAATGAAACATTCCAAATATCTTTCCTCGATTTCAATCAATGATGCTTCAGTTTTACTTTCAGCATTTGATTTAGTTTTCTCTTCGCTATTAGAAAAATCTATTCAAATCAAAGAGTATCTCCGGTCAAAAGCGGATAAGAAATCAATTGATTGGTTCGATCTTTCAATTCCACAGACCATTCGAGATGAATATCAACATTATATAATCGATTCTCAAATAACTCCATCGAGATACGAAGCTGCAAAACGTATTTGTGCTTCGATTATTTGTTCTCGACCAATTTTACTTGAAGGACCCGCAGCAACTGGAAAAACAAGTCTCATTGATTATTTATCAAAATGTTTCGAAAAATATCTTTATCGAATCAACAATACACAAGATACGACTATCCAAGATTATTTTGGTTCGTATATGCCAAATGGAGAATTTCTTTTCGGTTCTTTATCACGAGCAATGTCGGAAGGCGAATGGTTCGTTGCGGATGAATTTGATTTAGCTGAACCAGCGGTGATGAATGTTTTATATCCAATACTGGAAGGTCAACAACAAATTCTTATTCCCAATACAAATAAACGATTATTTATCCATCCAGAATTTCGTTTTTTTGCGACACAAAATGGAATGAATTATCTTGGAAGAAAACAATTACCCATTACATTACGATCAAGATTTCTCGAAGCTCCATTTCAATCATTTACTGAAGATGAATTCAAATTTATCATTATTCAAAGAAATCGAACTGAATCGAAAGATTTTAATAAAGAACTCACAGGATTTGCCGATTGTTTAGCATCAACAGTAACACATTTGAATGGTTATGTCGATGAAAAACAAAGATTTTTATTTGGAGGAGATCGAATCAAATTAACAATGAGAGAAATTATCAAATGGATTCGAAGAAAACAAAATAAAAAATCGATTTCATGGCAAATCATCGGATTAACCTTACTCGAATCTCGAGTACCAAAACAATATCGTCAAGAATTTCTCAATTGTTTTCAATATGAAAAGACTTTTTCACAATTTGTTGATCTTTCGTTTAAAGTTCAAATTCAAAAAGATCTCATTTCTCTTCATAATGTTAATTATGAACCGATTTCATTTAAGTTTTATAATGAAAAATATGCTAATGAATCGAATCTTTCTTTCGCACCACAAACATTTCTTTTGTCTCTCTGGAGAATATTCGCTGCTGTTGAAGAAAAAGAACCAATTCTTCTTATTGGTCCAACATCATCGAAAACCCATTTGATTCGAACGTGGTCAAAATTAATGGCGAATGAAAATAATCTTTGTATCATAACATGTTCATCTGCAACTGAAACAAGTGATTTAATTGGATCAATTAGGTAAATATATTCGTTTCGCTTCATAAAAAATCACTTTGTTTTTCTTTTTTCAAAGACCTTATACTCATGCCGAAGCGTTTTCTCTATTTGTCAAATGTCTCCGTGAATTTTATCAACGATTGATAAATATTCTACAGGATAATCATTCGTTAATGGAAAGTTATCTTCAAAATATTAATCGTCTAAGTCAAATTATTGAAGATTTTCTCGTTCGACTCAAAGATGATCAAAATCGAAAACGACTAAGACAATTCAAACATGATCAACAAGTTGATACGATTAATGAAGAACAAACTCAATTCGAAGATATTCTATCACCATTATCGCTTTCTGCTCCAAATTCTCGATCAGCCACTCCACCACCAATCTTACAGAAACGTCCTTTACAATTCGCTAATGATGATCAATCTTCGACAAGTGACGATGGAAGTGTTTTTGAATATGAAGCAATGGGAAATGAAGTGGATACAATGCAAACATCTGATGCAGATGATGATCCATTTACAACGAAAAGTGATGCTATTAATGAACCATCAACACCTGATGATGTAGATCCATTCGAAAATAATTCGGATAATTTTACAGAGAAAATGCCACATGATGATGAAGATGATAAAGATCCATTCGAAGAGAATTCCTTTCAATCAAAAGACGACTATGGAAATCTGATGGAATATTTTATGAAAAATGAAAATGATCTGTCGACAACATCATCGAATAACAATGGAATATCTTCAAAGCAAAATAAAGAAAAGAATCCAATTTGTGAAGCATTTCAATCAATTGAAAATTCATGGAAAGATATCGTTGACAAAATGAAGTCATTTGAACGAATTTCTAATGATAATGGTCTGACATTGATGAAACACCGTTGTGAAATAATCATCAATGAACTTCGTCAAGCCATTGAAGAACAAAAATCGAATATATTTCTTTTTCAAGATGGACCTGTAACAACAGCAGTGAAACAAGGTCAAATTTTAATTCTTGAAGATATGAATGAACCATCACAAGCAGTGATAGAACGATTAAATAGTTTATTAGAAACTGAACCATCGTTTGTTCTCTATGAAGATTTTACCAGTCGAAAATTTGGAACAGATGATCAAAATCCTCGTTCAAATATTTCAATTCTTCGATCATTTCAAATCTTCGGAACAATTCATTGTGATGAACAAAATGAAACACGTGTACAAATTAGTGCGGCGACACGATCACGAATGACAGAAATTCGTGTTGAATCTTATGATTATAAAGATTTAAAATCATTGGCCAAACAAAATCAATCAAATGAACCAACATTCCAAGCAGAATTTGAACAAATGATTGACATTTTAGCGGATAAATTGGCACCAACACTCGCTCGAGCAACAATGAAAAGTGAATCACTCAATTCGAGAGATTTTCTTCGATTTGCTCAATGTTTACAATTACATTATCATTCAATGCCAATGAAACAAGCTGCAGCTTTATCGATTAAATTTTTATTTCTTGATCGGGTCTCCATGGGAAGAAAATCATCTTTGAAATCAGTCTCAACTAATGATCTTCTCTGGCAACAGGTTTTAAATGCTTTCCAATGTGACAGAAATTCAATTATTCTCGATGATCAAATTGATCAATCGATTATTTATACAAATATCGATGATTGGTGTCAAATCGAAAAGAATCAATCGACATCTGAACATCAATGGGCTTTACGTCTGAAATCGAATCGATTAATTGCTCCTTTTTCAACAAAAATTATTGAACAACCTCAACTTTCTCACTTTCGATTAGCAGTGACGAAATCAGTTTTGAATAATATCTCACGAATCATTTTTTCTCTTCATTCATCGAATCGACAACTTCTTGTTGGTCCACCAGGTATTGGGAAAACAAAAATCATCGAAGTTTTAGCAGAATTACTTGGTTATCAAATCATTCGAATTAATTTCAGTAATAATACAACTTTTGACGATTTAATTGGTTCGTTTGTTCCTCGAGTTGCTCATGGACAACGATCATTTCAATTTCAACCAGGTCCACTTTATCAAGCTTTACAAAACGATCGTCATAATACAATAATTCTTTTTGATGAATTAAATTTAGCCCGAAAAGAATTACTTGATCAATTAACACCACTTTTTGCCAATAGTAAATCTCTTTTTATTCCATCTTTGGGTCAATCAATTGATATTGATGGTTCAATTGTTATTGCTACAATGAATCCTGCATCAATTGGAAGTGGACGAGGAAAATTACCACGATCAACTGAATCACATTTTCTTCAAGTTCAACTTTCAAATTTTGAAGTTATTGAATTAATGCACATTACAATTTCTCTTCTTCGTCGTCATCTCGATGCTGGTTATTTAACAAGTAAAATCATTGAAAAGATCAATCTGTTTCATTATGAAATCAGTGAAAAAGCACGACTTAGACAAATCGGTCGTATCGGTGGTCCTTATCAATTCAATTTACGTGATATTGAAAAATTATCAAATCTCATTGCAAATCTTTCTGTAACACATCGAGCTCATCTTAATCTTTCGAAATCGATTCCAAATGAAAATCTTTGTGAATCAACTGAAAATGACAATGTCGAAGAACAAAATATGATTCGAAGTCTTCATGTTTATTTAGATATTGTCTATGCTTGTCGATTTGAATCAATTAATGAACAAAATCAAGTTCGTGAAATGATTCGAAAACATTTTCCTTTAATTGACAATTCACCTTTGATCGATCAGAGTCGATCTCAAATAATTGATTGTGATTTAAATCTTCTTGGTTATGTTCGTCTTGGTTTTGTTTACATTGAAAAGAAAGACTATCCATCAATCTATCCACCGTGTACTCATAGTAAAAAAACTTTAGAGAAATTACAACTACTCGCTGCTACTGTCATTAGTAAAGCAACTGTTTTGATTGAAGGTGACGATTGTTCAGGAAAAACAGCGATTATTTGTGAATTAGCACGACTTTGTGGAAGACGTTTATTACTTTTCAATCTTAACCATGAAACAACAACTTCGGATTTACTTGGTTCATGGACAATTATTAACAAAGATTTATATGAGAAGAAAAAAATCAAACAAAATCGACAATTTCTCAATGATCTTCTTCGATTTTCATTGGATCGATTATTACCTATTGCTGAACAATCGAAACAAATAGATCAATTTATTGAAAAGATTATTTCAATTGTTGAATTTTGGGAAAACAATGAACATTTGGAAACTTTCAATCATTGTCGTTCTTTATTAGAATTTTCCTCGAAACAATCAAATGAATTATTAAACAAATGTTTAAGTGAAGAAATTGAAAAATATTTCGATTTACTCGATCAAATTGAAGATAATTGTAAATTAATTGAAGGATTATCGGAAGGTTTAACATTTACATTTAATAAAGGACCTTTAATTGAAGCAATGGAACGCGGTGATTGGATTCTTTTAGATAATATCAATTGTGCTCGAGGTGATGTGATCGAACGATTAAATTCATTAGCTGAAAGTGAACCAAGTTTAAATCTTTATGAATCAAATGAAACACAAATTTATCGTCGTGATCAAGGAATTCATCAAGATTTTCGTTTATTTGTTATTGGAAATACAAATCGAAAAGGAAATGAGAAATTATCAAATGCATGGAAAAATCGTTGTTTAATTATTCGAATGAAACGACTCGATGATGAATTAACGATTGAAAATGTCGAAAATCATGATACAAATCAATTAATTCAAGGAGAACTTCAAGGAATCAATGCAGGAGAAGAATTTACTCATCTTCTACTTCGAATTCACGCATCAGCTCAACAATTATTCAATGAAAAACAAATCGAATTGATCACTTCGTACAAATATTCGTATCAAAATCTGAAAAGAGCCGCACGAATCTTACGAACATATGCACGTGAAGGAAAAGATTTAATGTTAGCATTAAAAACAGCTATTTTTAGAAGTTATATCGATCCTATTGTTAATCAAAATGGGAAAGAAGCATTAAGAAAGTGTTTTATCGAACATCTTTCCAATGAGGAATTGAAAAAAGGAAATTTTTTAACTTTACCAATGAGAATGACTTCTGAAACACTTGAAGAACAAGTTGAACAAATGGATTGGTTTAAATCAGCACAAACTCTTCGAGATGTTTTAGCTTCAATTGAAGAATCAACTTATGATTTTCATCTTCAAATGATTATTAAAGAATTTGATGATGAATCGTTTCGTCAAAAAGAATTTAGTCCTTATGCTTTATCTTTACTTGATCATCTTTCACCTTTAATTCAAAGAAAAGTTTCAAACAATGAAGAACAATTATTTGGACAGAAGATTTCTTTATTTCGTCAAAAACTTCTCCAAATTCATCAAGAATATTTCGATCCATTGATTATTAATGAAATAAAACCATTTTTCAGTGAAATATCGAGGTTTCTGAGATCCGAATCGATTCTTTTGATTCTTGATCATATTGAAGATACGATCAATCAACTCAATCAACATGTTAAACAATGTTCGATTTTAATTGAAAATTTTGTTAAAAAAACGTCTTTTCTCGATGCATTTTCTCGAACAAAAGAATTGAAACGAATTAAAAAAACAATCGATCAACTTCGATTCTTATCGATTCAAAATCAACAAATTCGATTAGGTGAACGTTCATTGATCAATGCACAGAGAAATTATGAAGTTAACCAATGTCTTTCTCAACTTCTCATTTGTGAAATTTATATTCGATGGGTTTCATTTCCATGTCAATCAACAGTGAAAAATGATTTAGATATTCTTCTTCGTACAAATCAAATTCTTAATGAAAATCTCATCGATGAAGAAACAACAACTGCTTTCAAATTTCTTAATGTTCATTTACAAAAAGTTCAAGCTTTACCAATTATTTATTCAACTGATCAAAGATATGAAACTATTTTCAGATTATTTCAATGTTTACCAAAAACAGAACAAACTCGAATGATTTGGAAATCTTCTGCAAAATTAGAATTGAATGTCGCGTGTAAATTATCGATGAATCTTTTGATTAAACGAGATTTTCTTGAAATCATCGATGATCGATATTCTCTTTTAAATTCATCGACATTTTTGAACAATCTTAATGTTCTTTTCTACATGGAAACGATTCTCAATCGAATCTCAAACGAAATTGACAATTGTCAAATCAATTTAGAAAACATTGTGAAAGAGTTGCGTGAACAGGAATTATCATCAAATTCATCTTTTCAAGTCATTGATATGGATTTTGCGCAAACAACAATTGACATTCATTCAAGTGATACATCAACCGACAAAATCAATGAAATCAAAGAAAATCTTCCTGTTCTTTTTCTTGCTCTTCGTGAAAATATTCAACAATATGATAAAGATGGTTCGTTTAATGATATTGATAATTTTATTCAACAACGAGAAATTTGTTTTACACGAGATTTGATTGAAACTATCGGTGAGATTTATCATCAAGAATATCTTTGTCATCAAAAGATTTCTTCATCACATTTACTTGATGAAGAAACGAAACAATTGAAACGACATGTTTTACAAGAACGTGTTTTTTCTCGTTTTAATCACGAAATTCTTCGTTCGAATCGAGGTCAAGCATGTTTAGCATTGATGCAATTAGTTTATCCATCTCTTCTTCAACATGATCTGCTCTTTTCGATGGTCTGTGAAAAGAATTTTCATGAAATTATTGAACAAAGTTTAGAAAGACAAAATCTTCTCGAAATTTTCATCGAACCACAATTCAATGAAATCCTTCTCATTGATAAAAGTCAATACAATCGTTATATTTCAAATGAATCAGATTTGATTCAACTCGGTACACAACTTCGAGTGACTCATTTTGTCATTCATCAACAAAATCATTCAAATTCAACAATTTTCGATTCTCTTTTTGAACAATTTCAAAAGAAAACTAATTCAATTGAATTTCGTTTTCAAAAGCAAATCGTTAAAAGTTTCTTAACTAACGATCACATGCATTTCGCATTACCTTGTCTAATCAACCAATTATTTCATTGTTCATCATCAATCGATTTATCGATAGTTGAAATTGATTTAGAAAACGCACAGAAGATCATCACTGAAATTCGTTCGTGGTTCAATGAATATGAAAGAAATGGAATTGTTCAAAATCATCAAAATCGAATCGAATATCAAGTAGAAATCTCCATTGAAAAACATCTCAAGATTTTTCAAACAATTATCAAACAAACTCGACAAATTCTCGATGAAGTTGTCTCATCAAAATATGTCAATATCAATTCCATCAATCAATTTACCAAGAATGTTCGAACTAATTTAGAAAAACAAATTATTACCGATTTGAGAATAACAATTAATGATGCTTTACAACAATGTGTTCCCGAAACGATTTCATCTCGTGTGAAGTTGATAACGATTGTCGATGCAAAAAAATTCCGTTATCCAGTCTTAACTCAATTAAAACCACTTTTATCTGATCAAAATATAACATTTAATACATTTGTTTTGAAATTAATTGATCAATTACATCAAATTCAAACAGAATTTCTCAAACTACTTTTAACAACGAAAGAAAATGATGAAAGTGAAATATTTAAAAATGCACATCAAATCTCGAAATTCTTAATCAAAACAATGTCGTCGATTATGGATTATGTCGATACATTAGGATTTCGAATACCTTTTCCAGATTTTACTCAAAATCTATTAAACATAAACAAAGAAATTTTAAATCATGTTCTTCAAATTCAAAGAAAAACTCAACTAACAGATGAAGAAATTGGCAAATTCACGTTGTTTAAAACGAGTGATATCAATGAATTTGATTTATCAAATCATTTGAATTCACAGACAACTATAGTAACAAATATTCCTCAAGAGAAAAAAGATGCCGAAGAAACAATTCTTGACAATCAAAAAGAATTATTTGTCGAAATTGAAACCGAATTGGAAAAATTACGACAATTAGCTAAAGAAAAAGATCTCTCTCGACTTCAATATGCAATTGCCATGTATTTGACACAATTAAATCAAATGAAACAAAGTCGAACAAGATTAACTGAATCAAATCGAATTAGTTGGATAAAATTACCTAAACAATTACAAAGAAGTATCGCAAACGAATCAATTGAACAAAAGAAAACTGACTGTTTCAATATTAAACGTATCAAAGATGAATATTTATCAGAAATTTCAACAGAAATGATTCGAAAAGAAACAACTATTATTGATCCTTATTCACCATTATTATCAGATGAACAAAGAAATGAACTTCAAGAAACAATTGATCAATTATTTGATGACGAATGTGACGAATCTGATCCAACTTTAGTTTTTTTACTCGATTATCTTAATCGAAATATTTATGAATCCATGTGGAAAAAAGTTGAATCATTAGTTTATTCTTTATCATCATTAAAACAAAATAATAAAAGTACATCGGAATCAATTCTTGATACTCTTAACTCATTGAGAGCAACATTAATCTTTCTTGATGCGAATCAATTAGCTGAACAATGTCGTCAAGTTTTACAAGAATATGAAGAACAAATGAAAAATGGAAATAATCAATTGGCATTTCTCAATTCAAATTGGAAAGAACTTCATCGACAAACATTAAATAATGTAATGAAAAGACGATTAATTAATATTCAATATGTTAAACATTGTGATACTGAACAACTTCGGGATATGATTTCAGATGATAATCAGATGAATTCATATAATTTAATCTCTTTTTATCCATTACTTATTAAATTAAAGAAAAGACATGAGAAATTAACTGAAATTGTTTATGATATGACAAGTTATAATCAAATTATTGGAATTCATATGTCATATTTACGTTTATCAGATTGTATTGTTATTGTATTTCCTGATTTGATTCATTTATTTCTTGAATCAATTCAATTTGATCAATTAGATTTTCGTGAAACCAAAACAATGGAAATTTATTTGAATAGTGATGAATTTAGTGAATCAATTGACGAATTTTATCAATTTCGATTAATTCTTTCAAATGATCATCGAGAATCTTTTAGTCTATTTCAAAATGATCAATCAATAGCAAGAGATGATTTGAAGAATATTATTAAAAAATTCTTTACAAGAATTTCAAATGAAGGACAAATCGATGATTTTCGCCAAGTTGGTTATCATTCTGTTAATGAAAGTAATGAATTTCATTCATTTTTTGCTTTGGAATTTCGAGATCTTCTCAATAATTTGTTTGAGAAAATGCGAGAAAATGTTCTTGGTCTCACCAAACAATTTAATGATTCTACTCGATTTCCAGCTGATGCCTTTCTCAACTTTTCCAAATTATTTTGCAATGAAATTAGTCCTGATCTCGACAGAATTCGTATGCGACAACGAAATATCGAAATGCGATTAGCTGGATCTAAATTGACAGATTATGAAAGAACAAATCTTGAAAAAGAAAGAGATCAAATCAGTCAAGACTATAAACGAATCGATATTGATTATCATACGAAATTAAATAAAGAAATTATTCAACGAATTCGACAATTAGTTTCCATTCATGACCAATTAGAATCTCGAAGTGATGATCTACCCTCACAAATATTGAAAATAATTGAAAATACTCATGAAACGAAGAATATCAAGGAACAGAACAAATCCATTTCGATTACATCGATCGACTTTCATCGAAAATTACTAAATTATCATAAAAATGTTTTAAATATTAAAGTTGAAAGTTTCGAAGGATTGGAAACGAATCTTCGCTCATTTATTGGAGAAACTCGATCAAATCTTGAGAAGATCTACGAAGAACATCGAGATTTACTTCGTTGTTTCGATGAAAATGATAAATTATGGAAAATCTTTCAAACAGCTTTAATTTCTTATCAATTATGTCACAATCAATTATTCAATGCAATGTTCAATTGGATTCGTGATTTAACCAATCGACGTAAGATTTATAGTAATGATATTCATCGAATTATGGAAAATAATCAAGAAAATGTTCGAGAAGCATTCGAAATACTTCGACCGATTATTAAAGTCAATGAAATTTCATCAATTCCTGTCGATATCTCATCAATACATCGTATTGTTCAAGTCATTAGTCGTACAATTTTAAATTTTGATCAATATCTGACAGAATCTCAAGCATTTTATAAATCAACAAGTTTATCAATTCTTCTTCATCATTGTTTAACTCTTCATGCTCGTATTGTCGTTTTTCTTGTTCAACTTTATAAAAATTATTCAACTGATGATTCACAATTGAAATCATTGAAAATTCAAATTGGAAATAAATCAATTTCTTGGAACGATCAAATGAAAATCTTATTAAAGAAAAGTCGTTTTCGTCTCGATAAAGATATTCCAGGAATAATTTTACCAACTGATGAATTTTCATTAAAAGAAGTTCATCGATTTCTCTGTCATGATTATTCATTTTTACAATATAGTTTTTCTTATCGTTATACACATACATTTAGTGGAATTTGTTGTAATCCAATTGCTTTAATTGATAATATCGAACGAAAAATTGATGAAATACTTCAAATCGATTGTCGTTATGAAAATCAATTTTTATCAACTTATAACACATCGTTAATTCAAGTCAGTTATTCTCTCAATCTTCTTGTTCGAAATAATCAATTAATTATTAAAAAAATCTTAAATAATAAAAATGATTATTTCGAACAAAACACAATGAAACATTTGAAAAGATTTCTCGAGAAATTATCTGATGTAACTCAACTGAAATGTTCATCAATATCACAAATATTAAATGTATTTGTAGATTTTATTCTCAAACAACATTTTGATGATCTTTTAAATGAAGGTTTAGCTTTTTTTAAATATTTATGTCAAGAAAGATCATCATTAACAAAAATAATCAATCATTTTCCATCTTTATTAGAATATTTTGTTAAACAATATTTCGATTTGATCATCGATTATTTTCAATGGGAAAAACAAGATCAAATACAAAATTTTCAGAAAAAACTTCAAATTTTCAAAGAACAAACAATTAACAAAAATGAAATTTCTCTTATTGAAAATTATCTTTATTCTCAGTCATCTGATGGTCATCTTTTGACCACAAATTCCGATGAATGGCACAATGAACTTGTTGCATTTCTTCTTCAATCATGGTCGCAGGTATCACGGATTTTATCTTCATTCGCTGGTCCTTTTTATAAAGAAAATGAATATTCTCGAAGAAATTTAAAATATTCTCAAGTTATTGCTTATTTTCAGCAAGAAAAAATGGATTTAATTAAGTTTATTCAACAAACAATTGAAGAATTTAATAAAAAATACTCAGATCATCAAACGATTAACGATGAACCAGTCATCGTTCATTTAATTCGAGTAAAAGAAATCTTTCGATATGAAATTATTCAAATGTCTTTGAATTCATTTCGAGAAATCTTTTCACATTGTGATGAAATTAAACAGGACAATTGGCAAGGCATTTTTCAATTCATTAATGACAAAACAACACAGTGGAATAAAGAAATTCAAAATCTTTTGGATATACGTAAATCAATAAAAGAAAAAATCGTCCAAAGAAGGAAAAGCCAATATGATGATAATGTGCGAAATATTGGAGAGGAAAATAAACGTAAAACAGAAGAATTTGATCAACAATATGAAAGATTCAACAAACGATTAGCACAAAATAAAGAGACAATGATGAAAATCTTTGGACAAATCAAGTTAATTGGAAAATTACTTTCTTCGGATGATTACAATGGAATTAGTTCAAAAGATAATTCTCGATTTTATGGGCAATTAACTAAAAATATTGACGAAACCATCGAATTACAAGACAAATTACCTGATTCTTGTCGATTAAATGAAGAAATTGAAGGAAAACAATTAATGGAAATGGTTCAAGTTCAATCAGTTCGATTTAATGTGCACCGAGTAACATATATTGAAGATATTCCGAGCTCTATCAAATCTGAAAAGACATCATGGGACAACAAAATTCAATTGATTTTAAATGATGATGATATTCTCCAAGAAGGTGAAGTTGTAACAGTGAAAAAATACGGTTATATGAATTATGTCGATAATCTCTTTGAGAGAAAAATAAAAATACCAGATAATGCAATGACTCAATCAGGTGAAATTTGTCGAATTAATCTCATGGCTGGCTCAAAAAAAGACAAACAATGGCAAAAGATGGCTCAGATCTCGTTTTCTTATAATGATCTGTGTCAAAATACACGCACAATTCAGGAAAACTTTGGAAAATTTAAGAAAAGCATAATTGTTATTGATATTACTCCTGAAAGAACTTACAATTTAATAGGATCAAACGAAAAATTACAAAATAAAACTCTCGCTGACGATCCTTCTCTAAAACAACACTATCAACAACCTTATGAAGTCATCGAATCACTTCAAAAAAATATTGAAAAGCTCCAATCGGAACTCAAAGTAGGTTTTCAGGCTCCTATTCCCCCACGACCCATTGAAATCCCATCATATGAAAATTTTGATCTGATTCCTATTCAACAACAAGAATCTGATCTTCAATGTCTTTCTCACCTATCTGATGACACTCATCATCAATTAATGTTGAATATGTCTGGAACTTTTAACACAATTGTACAAAACTTTCAATCGAATTTCACAATTGTTAAACAATTTTTCAATGAAAATTATGCGAATTCTCTACTCAATGTGACATCAATGAAATTTCATCAACGTGAAAGTCTCATATCTGATTTAGGTATTCTAAAAACACAATTTTCTTTCAAAACAATCCATGAAAATCTTTCAATAATACACCAACAAATAATGGAAATCCATTCATCTGTTCAAAAACTCCGTACATTTCGTGACAAATTACAATCATCAATTAAAACTCTACGTGAATGTCGATTTCGTGTTGAAATAGCACAGACTGAAGGAAACATCATTATTAAACCCATCTCATCTATCTACACAAAAAAGATGTTGGACTTAATGAATGAAACACTGAATTTCACATCCAATTTGGTAAAACGTTGTGAAAATCTTCGCCAAACATGGAAATCAGCTTGTGTACATTATGCACAGATTCTTGTTCAAACTTTGAATAATCTAGAACATTATGAAAAAGCTTTGACTCTGTTTGAAAACGTGAAAACAGATTGGCTAAGAGAATCCCCAAAAAATGCGATCAATCAGGATGAATTAGCAACTTTAGATGATTTGATGAAATTAATAAAAGAACAACAAAAAGAACGCGTTGAAATGAAAAATAATAATTCCATAAAACAAATCAATTTGAAAGAATTAAGTGAAAAAATGAATATGAAATCATTACTTCAATATCGTGAATCACCAATGTTTAGTCAAATTATATTTGAAAAAGTTGACGATCAATTTATTTCTTCACCATCATTTTTAAATATTCAATTTCAACCAATTGTTTTGCATTGGTCATCAAAGGAACCAAAAAGAAAATTTATTTATCTTCTTAATCGGACAAATGAAACGATTTCAATTGAATTTATGAAAGATATGAATGAAAACTCCGAAAGTTCCTTTCAAATTCAACCAATCGAAACAACGATACGTGAAAATAGTCGCGAAGAAGTTCAAATCTCTTTTCTTGAATCGATTGATGTTGGAGAATTTATGGAAAAATGGATCATTTCTATAAAAGACCATTCTTTTGAAATTCCATTGAAAATTTCTGGTGAAATCAAACAATTTTTCATTTTTATCGATTTACCATTGATGGATCCGATGAAAATGAATTCAATCAAAACATTTTCTCTTGATTTTGGTTTTGTTGCTTGTGGAATTCAAGAAAAACTTCAAAAACAGTTTTGTATTGAAAATTCGACATCAGTTGATTTACGAGTTAAATTACGTCGAGAAGCTGGTGCCACTGATCTTTTTGAAATTTCTCAGAAATGGTTTAATTTCATTCTCTCAGCACATGAATCAAAATCTTTATCAATTCAATGGTTCATCCCAGCGATTCCTCGTGATTCAACATGTGTATACGAAATTTATTTCAGAAAAGATTTGAAATATCGTTTATTTTGTCAAGGAAAATCTCGAAATATCGGATTTGATTTGATTCATAAGTCAAAGATTCTTCCAAAAGATCAATCTCGCATTACACTTCCTAGTTGTTTACCAGGAGAAATTCTTCAAGAAGAAATTCTCATAGAAAATACCAGTGAAGTCGAGATAAATATGAATTTCTTTATTGAAAATCAACCAAATGAAATTGAACTTTCTTTATCACATCAACAAGCAAATATTCCAGGTAAATCATCAATGATGTTCAAAATACATTTAAAAATGAAGAAACCTTATCAACAATTGATATCAACTATTGTTTTTCAAGTTTCTCATATTCAAAAAAATCTTGTTCATAAACTTATCTTACAAAATACAATTGCTTGGCCAGAATTAACTATTGATGGTAACAAAAATGATTTAACAGTAGAAATTGAGGGTGATTATAAAGAATATGGAAATACAATTTCTCTTTGTAATAATAGTTTAGTAACAATGAAAATTGATCATTTATATACAACATCAACATCATTTACTCTTCATCCCGAATGTTCATTTCCAATTGAAATTTTATCTTATCAAACATTAATCTGTCCTTATGTTTATAAAATCGATAAAAAACTCGCTAATTTTCATACTGCAATCATTGCTGACGGAAATTTTAAAGATAATCAAACAAAAATTGCGTGTCATTTTCGACTAATGATTCCAGCTATATCTTTATCACCATATGTTTTACATTATGGTGCCGTAATTTCCAAATCTCCTACAAAACCATTAACAATTCATGTGAAAAACGTTGGAAATATCTCTGCAGAATTGCAATTGGAACGAATGGACACTGACACGTTTTTTATAAAAACTTTCCCAAATCAATCATCTTGGTCTTTGTCTGCAGGATCACACACATCATTAGTTTTATCTCTTCACACAAAGGAGATCTCTTCCCTCGGTAATTTTACTTATATGATTCCATTGAAAATGAAACATTCGGGAAAGGAAATTCAAAATAAAAAACTAATCATTACTGTTCGATTTCGAAAGAAACAAAATTTGGATAAACAAAGATTATTAATCAATTTTCCAACTTCATGGGAATTTCTTCAGAATTCTTCAATATACGAACGTTTAAGAAATATTTTAGAAGATGACAAAGATTTACGTCAACAATGTTTAGCAATGGCATTGTGTCCTCTTCTCCTTCTTTTCGATGGTTTAAAAACTGTGACAACACGATCAGAAATAATTCCAACTGATCTCTCATGTGATCAGATATTTTTATTAATTCAATCAAAATTATCTGTAAGGAACGGCAATAAGACTCCAATTGAAGAACAAATCGATCGAATATTGACCACATCGTGTTCATCAACTTGCTGGACAACATGGTTATCAATGGTTCGGGAACTTCTACGAAATTCATTACCAAATTTAATTCTTAGTCTTGAAACATCAACACCAAATGAATATTTGAAATTAGCGATTGATTGTGCTGAACAATTAGCCATTCTAATCGAAGATCACGCAGATAAATTGGAAGATCAAATTCTTGCTCGTCTTATCGAATACAGAAAAACTTCGACTCAATTCGACGACGAAAAATTTAAATCATTCTTGCACTACACAGCTGATTTGTTATTCAATCAGAATTCATTTCAAACGATACCTAATGAAGATGATCAAGAGCGAAAGATAAAATTTATTGAAACTTTGATTAAAGTTATACAAATGAGTATCGAAAAGAAAACCTTGAAAGAACAATTCAAAAATTTTGTTATGGAAATGCAAACAGAAAATAATCGAAATATTTTGACATTTTTTCAACGATTCTTAATGTTAATCATTGAACGTGAACCAATTCATCAAGAAATTCTCATTGAGAAATTAAATGAATGTAACCTTCTATTTACTGATGATTTCTCAATGAAAAATCTGTTTTTTTCATTGAATTCATCATCATCATCATCAATACAATCTTTACAAAATTATATTAATGATCAAATTCAACAAAATCCATCAACAAATTATCTTTACAATTTTCTCATCTCATTAATTCCATTCGTAAATAATGATGATCAACAACAATCACTTTATGAAATTTTACATTTGCCTTTAACATTAATTTTATTGTGTTCATCATTATCTTTTCAGAAAAAAATTCTTTTTCGAAGTTTAGATCGTGTTATTTCCAATTTAACCAATTGGTTTCCTGATTGGTTCATTCTTATCAATGGTTTATGTGAAATTTTACAAGATCGTGTAGACGATACAAGACTAAGTGGCTTTCAATTATTACTCAAAATTGTCTTTCAATCAGATCCAAATGTTTATTGTACGAAGAAAATTTTTCTCGACACGATTACTTCAATATTGAACTTAGGGTCAACGAATTGTCAATTCGTTGCAACGTTACTGACTAAATTGAATGATAAAAACAGCTCACCACTGTTTTTATCATTAGCATTTCGATTAACATATCAAATGCGACGATCTAGTAGAAATGAGATTCGATGGTTAAGTATGTGTCACTTAGAACATGACACATCACATCTTTCAGTAGATACCATTACAAATTCTTTACGTTCGACATTTTCAAGAAGAAAGGATATTGAAGAACGTTTTCTTCGAAGATTCGAAACAGCGGTTGATACGTCGGATATGAAAGAAATCTTGTCGATTCTATCAACTCTATGTGATATGACAAAAGTTTGTGAAGAAGACAGAGAAAGAAATCGTCTTTTAATTGATATCATTTCACATATTGGCTCAAATACAGTGTCACTTAGCAAAACAGTCGAATTGGGATTATCATTGTGTATTGCTCTACATGACGCTACTCAAAGAATGGATTCAATAACAACACAATTCAATGATAGTCGAAAGAAATTTGAAACATCTGTTAACAATTATCAGCATGATCTACTTGCCTCTTTTAATCGAAGAAATCGTCTAGAAATCATCAAAATTCTCAGTAATCTTCTGAATAATCCAAGAGCAATATCTTTAATACAATTTTTGATCGATTTGATAATCGACCAAATGGACGAACCCAATGCAAAGAATCTTTTCTTGAAACTATGTTCGTTAATGCCCCATGAGGATTATGCAAATTACGTTGGAAATATCGTTAAAGAAAAGATGACTAACATAGTCAAAAATGATCCGAAAAGAGATATTCTTGATTTAGCTTTGCAAATCCTCGAACCTGAAATAAGTAAATCGAGCAAAATTGGTCTTGGGTCGGTCTTATGTAAAGAGAACGTTGATCCGATACAAAGCTTAAAAATGATTAAATGTTTGCTTCCGGAACTTCATCAAGAAAGTTTCGAATCAGCTATTCAACAATGGAAACCAGGTGAAAGCAATGAAATCGACTTCATTGACAATCTTCGAGTCATATCAGGTCCTCATATTGCTTCTGCATTTCAAATTTCATTAAATGCATTGAAATATTTGCAAAGAGATCGATTTCAAGCTATGCTCCATCTTTCGCAACTATGTTCACAACGAGCTCAAATTGTAGCGAAAAATCTGTCCGAATTCTCCAACAATGATACATTCGATTCCAAGCATCTTAGTCGAATAACATTTGAACTTGTCTCAGTCTTATCTGGCTCTTATAGTACATCGTTACTCTTCAAAACTCTTGTCAATCTTTATGATCAAATTCAACTATTCAAAGATATTGATGTCATTGAAGCCATTGTACCAATTTCACCAGACATCGAAAATTCCTTGAAACAAATTTGTCAAACATGTTCAAAACTCTTTTCTCGTCGACTTACTTTAGACAATTATTTCGAGATCGCCTTTGAAGTTGCCGTTGCCATGATTGATGATGACGAGATTGCCGAATCGATGAGAATTATTCAACAATCGATCAAACTTATTGAAAAGAAAAATTTTCGTTTATTCGCTAAACTGATGGTCGAACATTGTCTCGTTCGATCGTCCGATAAAGACAAACAAATCTCTCGAACAACTATTTGTTCATTACAATGTTTCTCTTCACTTGATGATCCATTGGAGATTCTCTACGAAATAATGAATATCGATGAATTAAAAGTCAATTTGAAATCCAAACTTCAATATGTTTATGATCTCTGTCGAGAATTTCGATCGAATATGGAAAAACAGAAACGAACAGGACAAGAGATACTCATTCATAGTTTAAATCTTCTCAAATCATTTGCTGGTCGAGAAGCAATAGAAATTTCATTTTTAACAACACTTTTTCAATCAATAGAAGAAGGTCAACAACACCCAGCACTTGACGCACTCGTACAATACATCAACCATAGTGTTCCACGTGATCTTCGTCAAAATGTATCCAAAACAATGAGTTCTTTACAACAAAAATTAAATGAACAAAAAATTGATCGACAGACAATTTACACTTTGACGAATAATTTACTTGATGAAGAGACGAAAAAAATGTTAATTGACGCATGGCAACATACTTCAATATTAACATTGAATTCATTTGAGCCAATGGAAGAACTTTTATCTGCTGCGTTAAGTGTTTTAAAGATTTTTAAAGTTAATACGACGATAACATCTCGTGTCGAAAAAATCCGAAAAATTCAGATCGAATTAAAAATTTTCTGTGAAAATGGAAACAAATTAGCAAATACAAATGAACTCAAATGTGAAGCACAATATATGAAATGTTTGGTCGAAAGTATAGAAAAACTATTCGCTCAACTCATTCCAAATGTATCTCCATCAATGATCAATCCTTTCAGAATGATTCATCGAATTTGTGAAATTTTAATGGCAAAACAATTGTTAACACGAACATTCGATTCAATTAGACTTATTGATTTTGCTATAGAAACAATTAATCAATCATTAGAATCGTCAGTTGTATCGTCATTATCAGCAGATTTAACATCTACAACGATCGATGATATTCCTTGTTCGACAATTTCAACGCGATCAGTTTCTTTACCAACTTTCAGTTTTACAAATAGAGAATCGGAAAAGCGATCCGAAGACAAAGAAATCATTCCTAAAACCGTATCATTACCAACAATTGATGTCGAATTTTCTCAGGAAATACGAGTACTTCATGAAATCGAAACAAAAATCAGAATTGATGCTATGCAAAACATTGAACAACGAACTTTAGAAATCGAAAGTGACAATAATATATTGAGAAGCCGAATGAATGATTTATATATAAATGAACAACTTGCTTTATATGAAATGATTAGTTACCTTACTAAAGCAAGATTACAATGTAGACATATTCAACAAGTTCTTGATGCTTTACAACAAATGGCTGTCAATGAGATGATTCCAGAAATTCTCAAACTTTCTTCCACATCAATACCAAAAGTCATTTTAGCTTCAATTGAATTATATCAATCAATGAAACAAATTCAAGGAACAACAAATCCAATTTGTGGACATATCAAAGAAAAATCTCAGCAAATTCAAACTGATCTTATCAACGTTTTGGAGAAAATTCTTCAAACAGAATATCTTCGACAATTGTGCAAATCAAATAACAAAGCCCTTTCAGTTGCAGATTATGAAATACCAGCAAATGGACAAATGTCCTTGATGAATAAACGAACAATTGTCCATAGAACTGATTTACATCCAAAGATTGATGAAATTCAACAAATGATGGAAGAGTTTGAAAAATCTAAATTGGAAGAAGATCATACTTTTGGAAATACGAATTTTCATCGTTTAGAACTTCATCTCGATCATTCCTTATTACACAATGAAATCGAATCAAATCAATTAGATGATGATATTGAAGAATTGAAAGAAATGCCAATGGTTGATCAATCGATTGATTCATCAAATCATCGTGATATTCTCTACAATATCATTGAAGATAATCGACCAACTGATAAATCAAATCAAATCGTAGATACAACATCAATCGCGCAAAATTACATTCGTTTATCGACTGACAACGAAATGAAAAACAATGAGAATGATCAGAATAAGAATGAAAAACGTCGTCGAATAAAAATTTCCAGAAAAAATATCGAACGTTTGAAGAAACATTCGGAAAAATTATTTCAAACATTGTTAAAATCGACTCAAACAAGTGAAATCGGAAAAATTAGTGAAGCATGTGACCCGGAACAACTTCCCGAAGTTCAACTCAATCAACCACGATACAGTTTATTGGCTCGAATAACTCGAAACATTCAAACAATGTTAATGATGCGTTTACGTTCGGTTTTAAAAGAACAACTTGAGAAACCAAAAGATGAAAAAGAAGATTTACAATTTGAATTCATTTTTTGTGTTGATAATAGTGGAAGTATGAGTGGAAAAAAGATTCGTGAAGCTTTAAATACTTTAGTTATTCTAATGGAAACATTTCATCGTTTAGAATGGAAATATGGTGTTGTTCGATTTGGTACAGATCAAAAGATTCTTAAAGCATTAAATCATCAATCAATGTATGAACAAATTCCATCAAATGGAAATGTTAATCTGAGACATCAGACTATTTCACGAGGACAATATATTTTGGAATCATTTACAACTGTTGAGAAAACTTTACCAGCTACAGCTTTAAAACAAATCGCTCAAAATCGAGATCTTTTTGGTGAAAAAGCAAAATTAAATGTAAAACGATTTGTTATTATGATTACCGATGGAATATCACCTCAAAGTGATGTTAATCAATTCAATGAACAATTGAAGAAAGCTAATGCTGATCTTTATATTGTTTGTATCGTTCCAGAACAACCGAGAAACGTCAATTCAACAACGATGAGTGAACAAGAACGTTTTGCGATTGAACATGAAGAAAAAGCGAAACAATTCAGTCAACGTGTGGCACCTGATCGAAATCGATTAATTGAAGTCGGACATATAGATATATTAACAACAACAGTTCTAAGTGATTTAGTGAACATAGTTAGATTAGCTACAATCAGTTATAATGAATCCAATCGAATCAACTCTTTAGTATCATCAAATTCAGATGTTAATCAAATTTGTGTAATGAAACCAATGGTTATTTCACATTACCAAGATATTCAATCATGGCAATCTCCTAAGATTGATTTTACTGGTCGATTTTATAATAGTGATCCAAATCGAAATTTAGATCAAAAACAGAAACAGATTAATTTGGATTTTTCTCATTCATTCGATGAATTCATCAAACATTTCGATCAGAGTATGTCTGATCTCGAAAACAGTTATATCAATGCTGAAAATCAAACAAAAATTATGATCCAAACTGAAAAACTCTTTCGCCAAATGGAACAACATTGTGAGTCATATATTATTGAATTTGTTCGAGTAATGGAAGAATATCTTTTACCTGCTTATAAACCAACACAATCATTACCAGATACTCGTGGAAATCGGTTGTATATTCCAGGTGTTGTTCGATATCTGTGTACTCAAGGTCAATACAATCGAATTTATTTGAATCCGATCGGTTCACCGAAAGCGGAATATCGTATTGCGTTAATTCTCGATCAATCGGTCTCAATGACGGGACCAGCGTATTTTGCTTCAGTCGAGATTCTTTTCTCTATGTGTGCTGCATTAAATCGTCTTGGCATTGACGATTTTAACGTTCTATCTTTTGGCAGAGAGATTCGATTGATTAAAAGTTATAAACAAACGTATGATCGAGTATTTTTTCATCATTTTCGTACAAATTCGAATATTGATGGTGAAACAACACTTCTAAGTGATGCGATTTTTGCTGCTGCACAATTACTTTTATTACAAACAAATCATCAAAATAATTCTGGTCCAATGATGATCTTCGTTCTCACTGACGGTTATGATCATCGTACACATTTACTTGATCGTGTTTTGACTTATGTTGAACAACAATCGATCACTGTTCTTGGTTTAGGAATTGGTGCGGAAGCGAATGGTGTTTGTCAATCATTTCATGATTGGATTATCGCCCAAAATCCTCATCTCACTTCAGATGCGTTCATTCAATGGTCAACTCAACAGACTGATGGTCAAACACCTAATGATAGTCTTTATCATAAAGCAACATTGTCGAATATTCGAACTGAAGATGGTCGAACGTTTACAAAAATCGATGATATATGGAATGAAGATATGTGTAATTATTTTGATGAATTAACAAATAGTGCAGGACGAACAATTGATGCTGTATTTTCCAATGAAGTTTATAATGCTCCGTTAACAGTTGAAGTTTGTTTTGTTATGGATTGTACATCGTCAATGGATCCTTGGATTGCAGCTTGTAAAACACATATCCAATCGATTGCTGAAGGTATTGAACAACAAGTGAAAAACCAATGTGAGAAGAATACTACTTTACGAATGGCTTTCGTTGCGTATCGTGATTATAACGACCGACAACGATATGATTCAATTGATTTTCAACCATTAAACATGATCGATGAAGTTCGAAAGAAAATACAGAGTCAAAAGGCAGAAGGTGGAGGTGATACTTGTGAAGATGTTCAAGGTGGATTAAATGAAGCTTTGAAATTGAGTTGGACTAGAGATTCTATACATCCTGTTGCTAAAGTTCTTGTCTGGGTTGGTGATTGTCCTGGACATACTGATTTCTGTCATAATAAAGGACAAAAATGGGACAATTATTTAGATGGTCTTTCCGATGTACCATTGATGTCTGATCTCATCAAGCAGATCAAAGACGAAGAAATATTTTTATTGTTATCGGATTTTACAACTTATGTTCAATTGATGTTACAAAACATTGAAAAGATCTTTATCGATGATAGAAAAGAGTCCCAAGTGAAAAGAATTAAACTAAATTCACCTGATACTACGAAATTATTCGATGAAGTACAACGACAAATCAGTATAATCATTGCCAGTGAATTCATGTAATTGATCAAACGAGAAAATCTTTTTCCATATTTTAAACTTGATTGTTTTATCTTAATCACTTATACCTATCGTTTCTTTTGCTTTGAAATAAACTTCCGAAAAAAAAGATGACTTTCTTTTATTTGTCTACAAATTACCAAAGTTAATATTCCAATAATCTCATTCATTTTGAGGAAACTGTGAATGTAGAACTTTAATGAAACAGTTTATCGAAACATATGAGAATCTCTTTCCATTTTCATAGACGAATAGAATAGAATGAGAGATCGATTATCTATTTTTATTTGGATTATTTTTACTTGCAACGAATGAAAGGTAAACTTCTCTGATTAAATTAGATGGCGCTTCAAACTGATCTTATTCTTATGAAGATCTTCGAGTATTGAATGATATTATCATCAAATACGAAGTGAATATCCTTTGATTGGAGATTTCATCAATAAGTTCAAAATGTAATTTCATATTCGTTGTGGATCGATTTTGTTGGTATAAATTGTATCAAATCAGATCTAATCTTTTTTATTTCGTTTATCTTTGTGTTTTTTTCTCTATTGTTGATGATAAGAAGAATGTCAACTAAAAGTGAATATCTAAAGTTAAATGAAAAAATCCATTTTGATTTTCAATCACGTCGATCTGTTGTTTATGGAACAAATGGAATTGTCGCATCATCTCAACCATTAGCATGTGAAGCTGGTTTAGAAATCCTACGAAAAGGTGGAAATGCAGCTGATGCAGCTGTTGCTGTTGCAGCTGCTTTGAATGTCACTGAACCATGTTCATGTGGAATTGGTGGTGATTGTTTTGTTTTGTTTTATGATGAAAAAACAAAGAAAGTTNATTTTCAATCACGTCGATCTGTTGTTTATGGAACAAATGGAATTGTCGCATCATCTCAACCATTAGCATGTGAAGCTGGTTTAGAAATCCTACGAAAAGGTGGAAATGCAGCTGATGCAGCTGTTGCTGTTGCAGCTGCTTTGAATGTCACTGAACCATGTTCATGTGGAATTGGTGGTGATTGTTTTGTTTTGTTTTATGATGAAAAAACAAAGAAAGTTTCTGGATTAAATGGAAGTGGAAGATCACCGAAAAATTTAACTTTAGAAAAACTTCGTGAAAAAGGTATTCAAGGAGATTCGATTCCACCGAATAATCTTAATTCAGTCACAGTACCTGGTGCTGTCGATGCATTCATTCAAACAGTCAAATCATTTGGTTCAGGAAAGATTTCATTCGATGAAATTTTCACACCAGCAATTCGATTAGCTGAAAATGGTTATCCGGTTTCAGAAATTACTGCAAATAGTTGGGCTAATGGAGAAAAGATTCTAAAAGAAGCATCTCATAATGCCAATGATATGTTAAAAAATGGTCGAGCACCAAAATCAGGTGAAATTATGAAAATGCCCAAATTAGCGAAAACTTTTCGTGAAATTATCGGTAAAGGTCGTGATGGATTTTATAAAGGATATGTTGCACAATCAATTGTTGATTTAATTCAAAGTAAAGGTGGTGAAATGACTTTAGAAGATCTTGAAGAACATCAGACAACGATTGTTGAACCAATTTCATTTTTATATCAACGAGAAAATCTTCCATCAGTTCGAATCTGGGAATGTCCACCGAATGGTCAAGGTCTTGTTGCACTTTTATCTCTTGGAATTTTACAAGAATTACAAAAACAAAAGAAAATTTCTTCATTAGAACAATATGAACATAATTCTGCAGAATATCTTCATATATTAATTGAATCACTTCGTTTAGCATTTGCTGATGGAAGATATTTTATTCACGATCCAACATTTGAGCAAATTCCAATTGAAAATTTATTATCGGAAAGTTATTTATCGAAACGAACTGAACATTTTCAAACGACATCAATAAATAAAAATTTAAAACATGGAAATCCTGTCAATTCATCGGATACGGTTTATTTTGCTGTCACGGATGCACAAGGAAATGCTTGTTCATTTATATTTTCAAATTACATGGGTTTTGGTACTGGGGCCATTCCAGATAATTGTGGATTTACATTACAAAATCGTGGATCAAATTTTATTTTAGATCAAAATCATCCGAATTGTTTTCAAAGTCAAAAACGACCTTATCACACGATTATCCCATCGATGATTACTTATGAAAATGGAGATTTATTTGCTTGTTATGGTGTTATGGGTGGTTTTATGCAACCTCAAGGTCATGTTCAAGTCTTTTGTAATTTATTACATTATCAAATGAATATTCAACGTGCACTTGATCTTCCTCGATTTTGTATTGGTCCATTTATTCCAAATGGAAATGAAGAAGATGAATGTCCAAGTGAAATCTTTTTTGAAGATGGAATCGANATGATTACTTATGAAAATGGAGATTTATTTGCTTGTTATGGTGTTATGGGTGGTTTTATGCAACCTCAAGGTCATGTTCAAGTCTTTTGTAATTTATTACATTATCAAATGAATATTCAACATGCACTTGATCTTCCTCGATTTTGTATTGGTCCATTTATTCCAAATGGAAATGAAGAAGATCAATGTCCAAGTGAAATCTTTTTTGAAGATGGAATTGATGAAAATGTTCTAAAGAAATTACAATCTTATGGTCATCAGGTGAAAACAATTAAATCATTTGAACGTGCAATGTTTGGTCGTGGTCAAATTATTTATCGTGTTTATAATGAAGAAAATCAATTAGTTTGGGCAGCAGCTTCTGATCCAAGAGGTGATGGACATGCTACTGGATATTAGTTATTTTCTATTTATTGTGATGTTCTATAACGAAAATCTTCTTTAAATGATGATAAAATACTTCAAAGATTTCAATTGAAAAAAAAATACAAAAGAAAAAGTTGATTTTTTAATTTTGAATAATAAAATTTTTCGAAAAAGCATTGTATGGTTCTTTACCAAATAGATTATTTTTCACTCCATTATGACGAATTCGATATAAATCTTTACCAGTTGGATATATTGATGGAATAAACCATTCAACAGTAATTATACTATGATCAATTGCTTCTCTTTTCCAATGAAAACGTGTTTCAATATCAGAATCAGTTAAAATTGGAATCCATGTTTGATTTACATATCGATCAATATAAAGATAAGATTTTTCTGTGAAAAGATCATTACGCGGATTTGCACCCCACCATGAACAACGAACAATATCACCTGGTTTATATGATGAATTTACATCAGTGATAACATCACCAAATTTCTTTCCAATTGGTACACCATCCCATATTGGTGGTAAAACAAATGAAAATGTTTTTCCTCTCATATCATAAGGTTGTGGACCAGATGGTACTGATTGATTTCGTGCTAATTTTGTTGCTAAATCATCATAAATTTGTTGATAAGCAGCTAATGTATGTGGACCATATAATGTTGAAGCACCTTCATAACGTTGTTGTTGATATTCTTCATATGTTGTTATATAATGTGTATAACTATTAGAAAGACCAGCAATAACAACATGACTATCCGATGTCCATGTACCCTTTTAAAATAGAAGAAGAAGAAGTAAATAAATGAAATGTAATAAAATATGAAATTACTGCATTGATCAATGCTTGTTTTACTGTTGCTTTAAGTCTTCGTCCACTCATTGTTGTAAATTCACCAGGAAGTCCAATAATATATAATTGACCAATTTGAAAGATTTGTTGTGGTAAAACAAAAGGAACCCATTCAATTGGTTTAATAAGACCCACATCGAGTAAAATTGGTTTTGGTGCTTGACATTTAATTTGTTCTGGTGTTGGTTTCGCTAAAAATGCTGAAACAAATTGCCAAAAAGGATTTGTCGAATTTTTCGATTGAGTAAAATCAAAATCTCCTGGTCCATCGGTCGTTCCAGCAGCAAATCCATAACCAAGTGCTGCTTGACATGTTGTTTCATTTCGTTTTGTTGATGTAAATCGACTACTTACATTAATTGTCTTGAGAAAAGAAAAGAAAAGAATGAATGAAAAATGCAAATTGTGAAGAAATCTTTTACTTGCATATCAATATATGTATGTCGATATTGAACATTTCCATTGAGAAATGTTTGTGCTCTATCGTATAAATCTTTTGCTGTTTCAAATTGTCTTTGTCCAATAATTGTATTTGATTCATACATATCTTTTCCTGGTCCAAAAGCGATACATTTTTCTGTTCTTCCATGACATGTTGATGTTGCAAAATCACAAGGTAAACCAGTATCAATACATTTCGGTCCCATTAGATTTGGACTGACATCACCTTCATTACTTTGTCCAAATGCTGCAACAAATTGACCTTGTCCCGGTAAAGTTCCTATTGGATTTTTTGCTTTTTCAAATAAATACGATGCATAACCTTTATTATCTCCAGCAACTAATAAATTTGTATTGTTTAAACTAACTGCATGAACAGGATAAAAATTCATCATTCCAATTTCATTTTTTCCATCAAAAGATTCAAATCTTAGAACAGTCATTTCATGATCTGTATTATCTGTATAATTATTTTTATCAATATTATTTAAATATGAAGCTGGTGAACGATTAATATTTGCATTATTAACTTGTCCAATATTGATTTTAATTCTTCCTAATTGAAGATTTTGATGTGCATGTTGAATAGCTTGAACAATACCATTAACACATACTTCCCAATTTTCTTTAACAAATCCAAATGTTGTAATATCAACAAGTGCAGTTCCACCTGTTCCACCTGGTGTTGAATGTGTATGTGTACCTGAGATTAAAACATTTTTTTCATTATAAATTTTTGATCCAAATGTTTTATTTAATCGATCCGCAACTTCTGTTTTAACAATTTGAAATGCCATTCCATTATCAACTGATACATAAACAACACGATTATTTTCATTATTCGGATCACCAATGATAAATGCACGTGCACGCATTCGTTGTAATAAACCTTGACCACGTTGTTTAGGAACAGCATATCCCATAAAACCAACTAAAATATTCAAAATAACAATGGGATTTGAAGGAGAAGAAACAAAGGAAATACTTTCGGCAACTTGACCAGTTATATCATAAATACCCGCACCGATCTAAAGAAAAAGAAAAAGAATTTGAATTTGAAAAAGAAATGAAATTACTAAGAATTGTTCAGGATCGTTCTTAATTGATTGAACATATTTATTGCAGAGAAAAAAGAAAAGAAAAGTGAAATAAAATCTCATTTGAAATGATTTTTTCTTTGATATGAAAAGAAAAGATCTTTGTTTTATATTATTATCTTTTATTAAGATAAACGAACATTCAAGTACGAGTTTGTTTTCATCACAAAGAAATCTCTTGTGACGTCATTTTGTATTATTTTCTCTTTTTCTTACTTTTCCTAAACATTTTCAATGATTTTCCTTCGAATTAATTAAACAAAAAGCTTTTCTTTTTCCTTTTCAAATATCAAATTAAAACAAAAAGAATTTTAAAATAAAAGAAAAAAAAAGCAAACTTGTTTCTTTTCTTTTTCTTTTCAACATTGTTTCAGTTTGAGAAATGTTCAATACTCAAATCTTTCAATGGAAATCTTTTCTCATCTTGTTTTTCTCAATTCTTTTTCTTTTGTTCAATTTTCGAAGAATTTTTCCCCAGAAACTTTTTCGAGAAAGTCGCTCAGATGTGAAATATATTCGATCACCATTCGATCGAACATTAGCATTTATTCGATGGAATTCTGCTCATATTCAACGAATTCCATTAATAGAAAAATATCGTCCATTTTTCAATGAATTACATTATTCAATTCCATCATTTACAAATCAAGTCAATTTAACAGCAGATGGATTAATTAAATATGATTTTCCTTATAAAATGGTCAGTGAAACAATGGAAATTATTTTAAATGGAACTTATTCATCGATTCAAGGAATTCTTTTCTTTCATTTTGATGTAAGTTCAATTGCACAGATTTTTACGAATAAAAATGTGGATGAGAGATTATTTTCGAGTTGATCATAGAAGAAAAGACTTTTGTGATAAGAATTCTTAATCGAATATGTTTCTTGTTATTTAGGCGTGGATAAATCCATTTAAATTTGTTGGAATGAATTTTGAAAATATTTGGTTTCTCGATTCCACTGTTCCTCCATTTATTTGTATGAAAAGTGAAAAGGAAATCTTTTGGTGGTCCGATATAAATGGTCTTCAACGAATTTCTCAAAAAGCGAGAAAACTTTTAGAAGAAAAACATCCGAAAAAATATTTCATTAAAGATGAAAATGAATTTTGTGTCGGTTGGTCGGATATTTATTATATTCCACGAAGATTTTTTCGTGATTTTATTCTTTTATCGAATATTTATCATTCGGCAGGAACATTTCATGAAATAGCGATTCCAACAATTGTGAAAATTATCGATTTTACTTATCGTTTATCAAATTCTCATTCAATTATAACAAAAATTTCGGATTGTTGGGGAAATTGTTGTAGTTCAGGAGCCAAATCAATTGATTTACAAATGAGAAGATGTGGACATCGAATGGATTTGAATAACGAAATTATTCAAAAGACTTTTCTTCAATCTTTACAATCTCAACTTTCTCTTATCAACAAAACTTTTTCATAACAAATTTCTTTTCGAAGATCAAATGAACAAATATTTTTTCTTCTTTTTAATAAAAACATCTCATTTTACAATTAATCGTTTTATCGTTGAAGATTTACGAAACAATTTCAAGAATCATTTCTCATCGAAAGAATGTCGAAATACGTTTCAACATATTCTTGTCGAATCAACGATGATCAAGGTTATTTCACAGATCGAATCTTTGAAGAAGAAGAAGAAAAGTTCGTTTTCTTTATTTAGATGAATCGATGAACAAAAAATATCGAAGATTTCAAATGAATAAATTGATTGATGAAACGTTGGAAATGAATCGACGATTAAATAAATATGAAATCTTTCAAAGAAAAACTTTAAATCTCGTTTTTATGGGTAAAAGTGGAATTGGAAAGAAAACGATTTCAAATGTTTTAGAAAATCCCTTTTATATTTCATCACCATCGAAACTTTATTATGAAAATACTCAAATAGATCTTCATCCAATTTCCATTCAAAATTGTCATTTCAATCAACCAAATTGGATTTGTTGTTTAAATATTTTAAGTACATGTGAAATAATGAAGAAAACAAAGAAAATTATTGACAAATGTGTTCAAGAAGATTTAACACATATTCATTTCTTTGCTTTTGTTTGTAATTTTCAAAAGAATTTAGATGAACAGGAAATTCATTCATTAAAATTTATCGTCAAAAATTATTCGTTTTTACGAAAATATTTTTATTTGATTTTTACACATTGTGAAGAAACAAATTCAATCGAAAGGAATGACAAATTAAAAGAATTCTTTCAATGTGAACATTTACAACATTATCATTTTGAAGAATTTTTCAATGAAAAAATCTTTTTTCTCGGTTCATTAAGATCTCAATTATTATCTTCTCCAGATAAAACTTTATTTCAAGAACAATTCAATAAAATCTGTTTAATGAGAAATATTTTTCTCGATTTTCTCTCGAATTTGAATCCAAATGATTATTTTCATATTGAACAAATTTCTTCTTTAAATAATTGTCATATTTTATAATGAAGAAAGAATAAAAATAGTGAGAAAAGAAAAGAAAGACATTTTTGTGTTATCTTTTTGTATAAGAAATATTTCATCAACATTCTTTATTTACTTATTCGAGTTTAGAAAGGAGAAAGTTTCTTATCTGTGTGATAATTGTGGACNTGTCCTTCTTGTCCACTTATTCCAATTCCAATATGAGCTTCTAAAGAAAAAAAAAAGATTTTTTTAAAATCTTTTTTTTTTCTTTAGAAGCTCATATTGGAATTGGAATAAGTGGACAAGAAGGACAACAAGCTGTTTTAGCGAGTGATTTTAGTTTTGGTCAATTTCGTTATTTAGAAAGATTATTATTAATTCATGGAAGATTATCTTATCTTCGTGTATCAAAATTTTTACGTTATTTCTTTTACAAAAATTTCGCTTTTACATTTTGTCATTTTTGGTTTTCATTCTTTTGTGGTTTTTCAGCACAAGTAACAAATATGAAAGAATGTCAATAGATTAATCATTGTTTCTCTTTAGACTGTCTATGATCCAATGTATGGAGCTTTATATAATTCCTTATTTTCAACATTTCCAATTTTATTTTTAAGCATCTTTGATCGAGTAATTCTTTATTTGAATTTTATCTTTAATTTCTTTTCTTTTTTCAAAGGATGTCAATGATAATTATTCGTTAAACAAACCGTATTTGTATGTCAATTTGATCTTTTTTGTGTTTTACTTTAGAGAGAGAAAAATGTTTGTTTAGATATATTCCCGGGCAAAAAGATGAATTTTTCAACAAAAAAGTTTTAATCAAAAGTATTTTTCATGGAATTTTATCTTCATTGCTCATTTTCTTCATAACATATCTATCGATATCGAATGGTAAAATGATTGAAATGGATCTTCAATCATTTGGATTTTTAATTGGAACAATTATTGTCATTATCGTTAATCTACAAAATGCTTTGCAAATTTGGTATTGGACAATTTATTATCATTTAGCATTATGGTTAACAATTCTCATTTATTTTCTCTTTCATTTAACACTTTATTCGACATATCTAATGAAATTCTTTCGAACAAATTATACTTATGTCGGAGTTGCCAAACAAATTCTCTTCGATCCGAAGTTTTATTTGATTTTAATCTTAATTTGTGTTGTTCTTCTTTTACCCGTATTTATCCAAGAGTAAGACGAATATTTTCGATAAAAATCAAAGAAAAATTTCTTTTCTCGAGTAGATTTTATCAAATGCGATTCATTCCCGATGAGACGAACAAAGCTCGTTATAATCAAAAATATCGTTATGAAGAAAAAGCACGATTTATTGAACATATTCGACCAAAAAAACATTTGCGAAAACGTTTACCAAGATCAAGTTATGCTTTTGCTCAACAAGAAGGTTGGGGAAAATTAATAACATCAGGAATAATGCAAACTAAAAAGAAACCACATACAAGAGCATCACATGATCTTAATGTTTGTCCTTTTTTTTTCAAATCTTTTTATTTCTTTTGTTTTCAATTTTAGATTCATCAACGAAAAAGTCGAATTTATTCAACAAATCTTACTGGAACTTTATAAAATCACATTTGATTTCTTTTTTTTTTCTTCAAATAATAAATCTTCATTTTTTTTCATATTCTCTTATTACGAAAAATATCGTTCAGGTCAAAGTATCTTTTGACTGCTCGTATATTTCATTGTTGATGATCGATTAATATTTGTT